AATATTATTTCTTCTCCTGCAAGTCTATGAACGAATTCAAAATATCCCAAGTCAACTTTATTTGCGTTGCTCATCGTGGTTAATTAATGCAAAGAAGAAGAAAACAAACCTTTAATGTATTGCAGCAATTAACAAGATGCCCTTTCACGTATTTCACTATTTCATCATGGTTATCCCTTGAATTGGGTTGTCATAACTCTCATTGATACATCACCATAGCTTGTTGCGTTTTCTTTGTTTACATAGCCGCTCAAATTAACATTCAAATATAGGTGTGTCATTTCCGGGACGATAACTCTGTACTTTACAGTAAAACGTGTTTAATTTCTAAACGCGTTTAGATATAAAACATCTTTAGACATAAGTGTTTAGTTGTTAAACACAATACTAAACACGTTTAGATCTAAACATGTAATAGAAGTGTTTATTTCCTAAACACAATTTTTACAGTGTAGTTACATTTCCCTACCTCCGAGTTCGTAACTTTAATAGAAGTAAATAGCGTTTTGAATCTAAGCATTATGTATCTATATCATACTATTAGCTATTTATTATCGGTTGAAATATGGAGTAACTTGCTTTGTAAAATCAGCATAAATATTCTAGCAGAAATGATGAATAATCACAGGGAAAAAAATATATGCAAATGGTAGACGTATCTATATTAGATTCAACAGCTTTTACGAAATAGTTGGATAATTATAAGACGAGATTTTCCCCATAGTATGATATTTGCAAAAAGATAATCACGAGCTTAATGAATTCACATTACGTAACAAAAGGTATGACGTCACAATCATTGCTACAATACATCACTTGGGAAAGATGGAGACTACAAGTAGGACGACTAGTAAATTAAAAATGTTCTTTATCATCGATTTCATAGAAATAAGCGATATTAATTACTGGTACTGTTGTAAAGGTGTACTTTATTATGTGTTAATTATTTTCTTTGTCGATGTTCAAAATGGATGTGATTTTAGATGTTGGTGATGATGCCGTGCGAGATGTGGTAAGTTAAGTTATTAAGGTCAATGATAGAGGCACGCGTTTCACAAAGTTGTAAACTGTACAACCTACTTACACCTTCATATTTTATAATACCAAAATATAAGTATTACTTGTACATCCTGAATTGTTTTGAACATAAGGAAAACGAAAGGAAGCAAATGAGTAAAAGATAGTATATTAACATACAATTTTTGAAAAATACAACTTTTCATGAACTTTTAGAATTGAGAAATGTCTTTTCTCAGAACGGGAGATTGTCGCCGCCTTGTACACATCCATTCTTTCAGTTTGTGTGGTTACTGTATAGCATACCGTTTCAAACTACAGTGTCATGAGCTCATAAACATGAAATATAAATGCTTATATGAAAACCCTGCCTCAAAATTCAAGAGACACAAGTTACCGTTAAATCAAACCGTCCAGAGTATTTTTGCAAAGTAGGTCAAAGGTCAGGGTCAAGTGGATTGTAACGCTAGTAATATTCATGATGTTTTATGTCAAACAGTGCACACGGTAAAAAGCATAAATGTACGTCTTAAGAATGTACAACACATCCACCCCCCAAAAATTCCTGTCGTTTAATTTTCGTTATTTGTGTGTATTTTATACATGACTATATCTACTATGTTTATGCACAATTTGGACAAAATCGTTTGAGTCGTATTTGTCTAAAAGTTAACCCCCCCCCCCTTTTGGCTGTTCAGGAGGAGAGGAAAATTTTTAACCGACAAACTATATAATCCTAGATTTTCAGAAACGTCAGGTAAGCCTAGTTATCAAATTTTTGGTGACTTATTCTTTTAACCATTAAACACACTATTGGCTACTTCAGTAATACTCATTTTCTACGGATAATTATTTTTATGTCCGCGTGACCAGTTTGAACTTTGGAAGATCAGACACAAGCATTCAGTTTCATACCGGTGTATGAATTCGATTTGCATTGAATTTAATTTTCTTTTAATACTTTTTTTTGAAAGTGAACGCACACTGGTGTATATAACTCTCCTGTAATGTTAGTTTCGTTCAACCAGACGCTCGGCTGTCTCCGTAAACTCCGACCAGCAGAGAGTCTGGTAGATAAAGACTCACGATTATGATAGCTTTTGTAACGCCAAAACGAGGCTTACTGAAAGGAGTATTCTACTTAAGTATAGTAGTGTGGTCCCTTTTTACACCCTTGGTTTACCGGTTAAATATTAGCGTACGGTATTTTGATTGTTTTCATTGTGTATAACGAAGTATTTCTAATTAAAACACTGTGTATTTATAATGAATAATTAAACATATCAAAAAATACAAGCCTATTTTTAACACCTATCGCACTAAAAAATCCCGGAACATTTTCACCCGATCAGACTACGGTTTCTCTATTACATGGAAATGGGCGGAGACATTTAGATTAGATACTATAAAAAGAAGATCTTGGAATTATATTTTTCGTTCAAAGACGAATATTATATGTTCAAGATTCACAATCAACTACAAATACAATTTTCTATTTACAAAACTTTGGCAATAAAAGCTATAACAAGATGAACCAAACAAGTCCATGCTGATCGATATAAAACTGAGTACGTTTCAACTGAGAACTAGCACGTTTACTGGGGGCATTTACCCGTAACGATACAAATCCACGTGGCTTGCTATGATTCTAAACAGGTCATAAAGAGGTTAATCGCATGTAAATGAAGTCAACGAAGAGATTCAAAATCATAATACTTTTAATTAGAAAACATAGAGCACAAGGTTGTTCAACAAAGATATTTTCACTCAACCTTTACACATATAATATACACATTATATTTCAAACTCGACTCTGAACAAACCTGTGCTTGGTGTTTACGAAAGCTTTGAAGTGTGTACCTGTCACTGATTTCTTTTGATATTCATGAAAATCGAAGGACCCTACCTTCAACGCGCAGCTTCATATGCTGCCTATATCTATTGTTAGACATTCTAAGATGATGATTCAAATAATAAAGACATTAGTTAATAATAAAATTTAATTTTTAAAAATTTTAATAAATGTTCGAAATTTGACGAGTAACCGGGGACCACAGATAAGCCTTATTGAGACTTGTTCTTCTGGTAAAGTTTTTGATTGGCTGAAAAGAACAAACCTCCATAATTTAAACAAATACATGATTAATCGACAGAAAAACAAGCTAAAGTTTAAAAGTTGAATGTCTAAAAGTTATAGCAACTGGAAAGGAATTGTTCGGGTAATTGCCCACCGGTTGTGAGTAAGTTTGTTGTACACAGTCTTGCAAAAATTATTGTTGGCAGTAATTAAAAGTGAAAGTTGTATATTCTATCGGCATAGAACACATTTCGTTGATTGTTATTTCTCCTTTGGTATCCCTAATGAAGGATCAATTTATTAATATAAAATTCACAATCCCACAGAAAAAAACAACAACATATATATAACATTTGTTTTCAAAGGGGTTTTCAAATGAAAACAAGGTGACACACTCTGTCGATTACAGACGCTATCGTTTGAGTCTTTACCAGGCTCTCTGCTGGTCGGTGTTTACGGAGACAGCCGAGTGTCTAGTTGGACGAGGCTACTGTGATGTAAATGGTATTTAAGAACCCTCTCTACACTAAAGAGTTCCGATTCTATGGTATTTTTCTGCAGTTAGAGTGATCTGCCCTTAGATATAAATTCCAATAAATAGAAATTTACAGTATATTACTCAATTTGTAATCAATTCAAGTATTCTTAACATTTTAAAAGGCCAAGATAAATTAATTGAACACATTATTTACATGTATGTTCTCCATGGAAATAAACAATAGTGATTTCTGTTCACTGATACTGTGTTGTGTTTGAACATTTTTCCTGGGGGTAAATGCCACGCACCATATATTGAAAATTAAATAGATAAGCTCAATATTTACACCTTTATTCAATGTAATTTTCTCAATGTCCAAAAAACATTCTGCACTGGTGTAGAGAGGGTCCTTAAAGAATGAAGGCGTGCAAGGCCCCCACTCTGAGAGAAGACATTTTTCAATTCTAAAAGTTCATGAAAAGTTATATTTTCAAAAATTACATTGTCAATATAATCTTTTACAAATTTGCTTCCTATATTTTGTTGAATAAATTATTGTCAAGTAATTTATTTTTCACTAATGTTTTTAAGGTATGTGAAAAAGAAAAAAAAAGCTTCACGCATGACTCGAACTCTCTCCAAATTTCACGGTTAGGCGTAAGACTGAACGCATTAACCACTACGCTACGAAGTCTGCTTGTCTTGCTGTGAACCAGTGTGATTAAAATATACGAGTTTGTTGATGCGTATTTTTTTCCCCCCAAGAATGTTCGATTTTCATGTAGAATGGGTTTAGATTCCATTTTTTTTTAAAACATGAAATGGATTTTACATTCACTTTTCCGTCATTTAAACGTTAATGAAGAATGGAGACTTGACCCATTCATATTCAAAAATCATTTTTTATGGCTCTAATAAACCCATTTTCTACTAAAAGTGCTTTACTGTCAACTTTAATAACAAATTATCAATCAAAAAGTCCTTCAATAAAACAACCGAATCAAATTTGTTGAAGATGACATTACTGAAAACATTAATTTAGAAAAATATAACTTTTCCATGAACTTTGAAATTTGAGAAATATATTGTCCCACAGAGGGGGATTGTCCTCGCCTTGTGAACCCTCTTTCTTTTATGGTCTTCAGTAATTTTGCTGCTGCTATGTCCGGTGATAGGCTGTTCCACTTTTCAATAGGTTGCAAAAGAATGACTTCTCCAAGAGTGAAACTATTTAGAAGCTTGCTCGAAATCTTATGCATCTTTTTTTCATTAGAGCGATACTAGTCCATGTAAAATATTGAACTCATTCTTTTACAAGAAAGGAAAATACTACGTCGTCTTCTAGGAAGCAGTTAACCTCTTCACAAAGTGAAACGTATCCTACTGGGAGACCATCTTTGGCACAAGGATTTATAACGAAGTATACAATTTATGTAAGGAAGCATTTTAATTTCAGGAATAGATGAATTTTAAGATCAAATTAAGAGCAAATTGACTAAGTAATGACAGCAATATAATTAACAAAGACATACATGTACAAAAGCTCTACAATATTCTTTAAAGTCAACAAAATATTACTTATACATAAATCATTATTTTGATTATTAAATAAGATTTATACATGTACAATCATAGTACTATTTATCAATTATTACAATATCGTCCACAATAGCCTTGATCCGATTACTTGATTTGAAAATCCATAACACACTCAGTCAATGTATTTCCTTTTTACCAAAAACAGCAAGCTTGAATTCAAAAAACAAAACTACAATGCAACGTGGTCAAAGATACAAAATGCCAAACGACAAAAGCAATGCTCTTCAATAAAATATACTCGGTGGAATGGACATGATGTTTTTGTTTTCCTTCAATAAGCATGACATAAATCTGTTTTTCTCATTCTTGATAAAAATGTCTGATGGAAAAAAGGGGGAATATGTGATAAAAGATTAATGCTGTGATTGTGAATTGTCTGGTTTTGGGGACTTAGACGTCATGTTCTAAAGCCTTGTACTGGTCAGGTTGGGCGGGAGTTTCCATGAATTGGTCGATTATCTGCTGCATGCTCTCCTTCAGTTCTTCCGGAGGATCCTCTTCTTGTTCTATTTGGGCCTCCTCGTGCACGTAGGTCTTCTCTTTGCCGTCTTCAAGCATGGTTCTGGTGTGGATCTCCTTCTTCATGGTTAGTCTATTAAAAATACGTATATATGTACTCGTGTAATTCTTCACATTCATTTTGTAGAAACAATACCATAAACAAACATATGTGACTTGCTAAGTGAAAAAAAAAATATCAAAATCCCTCCGATATTTTGGACCATTTTCCTGAATTTATACTTAATACGATCCTGTTCAAAACAATATATAGCCCATACAGATTTACTGTCATTTCTTTCAGGATAAAACCCTTAAAACTAGAACCCAGCCACCTCACTAGTAAATTCCAATATTGATTGAATTTTCATTGCACGGCCGAAATGCATTACAGTATAGCATGTTAGAGACTACCATGAATTCCAAACCTCCCATGTACACACAATCATGACCAAAAAAAAAACTTCCATAAAAACCAAGCCTTTGGGGGGTAATTTCTTCGATGCATCGTTTTCAGAGAAAGAGTCATTAACAACTGTCATAACGGAACAGTGCCATTACGAAGCTCACATCGTACTTTCCTGACGATACAAGCCTGCCTTCGAATTGATAACGTGATAGTAAATGGACAGTTAATTACACATCAGAATGTCACTTACTGCTGTCTATACATGTACTACTGTAATACGTGACAGCAACACGTTTTAAAAATTCAGAAATAACTTTATCATAAAAATAGCTACTATTTACATTTAAAGAAAACTATATATACTTGGAAGTATCAAATGTGGCTGTTCACAGTTTAACGAAATATTTCGATAATTGTGATCAAAATATATTTTCTCTAGATTTAACAGAAGAAATGACGTAATAAACGTTGATGGTTATTTGACATGGAAACTTTTCAAACAGTAATTTAAGAACCAGAAAGATTAGTTAGCGATATGGAAAGCATGCAATGTCCCATTTTACAGTTATTTACTCCCATTGAACATTTTCAGAAAACCATCCATTAACTCTGAATTAGTTAGAACCAGGTATTAAAGCCACATGTATTCAAGAGAATTGGCTCTTCCATCAATGAAGCAAACCATGACGTACAGATCAATAATACAATATTTAACGTACTTAAACCTACTTTATACGATTATTTATATATACGTAAATATAAACAATAAAATATCTTATGCTTTCTGTGTTTGTTAATGCAGGATTACCTGTTGCAACCATTGCAGAAAAAAATTAAATAATCCGCGTAAAACCCGCTTACGCGGGTTATGAATTTTTTCTGGAAAAAAATGCAACCGTAAATTCCCGCATTAACAAACAAAGAAAGCATTTTATTGTTTAAATAATTACCTATGAGTTTCCATTTCCCCTCCTTCAGCCCCATCAGTGAAATCTTCTGAAATGTTAATATCAGCATAAATTTTAAGAAATTTCTTATTTTTGTTTGCCCCAGAGGGCAAGATGTTTTAAAAATTGTGTTTGGTGTAGTTTTTTATCAAAATCAGATCTTTGAATATACATGTATATATACAGTGTATCTCATTACACCATTATCAGATAAAATAGCATGTATAGATCTATTATTTTGGGATACTGATTGCAACTTATCAAAATTTGTTCACTTGAATAAATCAGAAACGTGCCTTTACAAACAGTTACAAACGAGTGACATATGATATCGACAACCTTTCTTCAATTTCGCTCAAAGCAAAGATGATTTAAATAGGAAATTCTTGCTTCAATAAGTTTTTAAAGAAAATTGTAAACATGCAAAATTAATAAATACTTACATATGCAGACGTCATGCAGAACTAGTCATTTTTTGTTTATCGAATTATACTTACGCATTTTTAAACAAAAAAAAATTACAACAGACAATAAGTAATCGTCATATGTCCAAGGGTGTCCATCGTAGTTCGGTATTAGTTGGTCATGGCAAAAATCAATAGACCACAGTAAACAGCATACCAGTTGTTCCACGAAACAGAAACCCCAAAAAAGCCTTAACAAATTATAAAGCTAGGATGGATTGGGACATGGGGAATGGAAAGATTTTCACTGAACCAACACCTGTATAAAAGCAAAATTACAACACCAAACCAAAGACGACATCGTGACTAACGCTGACCTTTTCTAACTGTCGGATAGTCGACTATTTCATCCTCCTCCGAATCTACGGTTTCGGGATCTATGTATATTGGTCCTGACTTTTGGGCTATCAAAATTGATAATTCGCTAATAATGGTTGCAATTTGTTTGACACGTGGATATTTTAAATGCAGAAACATCACAGACAACATTTAAACTGAAGACAACTTTACCGAGATACTCAGGTATACCATGCATCAAATCACGGTGTTCAGTGACATCATACTCAACAAAATCATCATCATCTATCGACGCTATTCTCTGTGGAGCTAATGTAGATAAAAGAACTTGGTCAGTTTCTATCTAAATCATTAACTGAAATACGTTTACCCTTTATAACATAATATAGGAATCTTTGAAGTAAAAGTCAACCTTTGGAATCTAACATCCTCATTCCATCGATACTAAAATTTTCATTCATGATTAGACACGTTTCTAAACATAGATATAAGCCAAGTTTAGAGTGCCAAAGATCGGATTTAAAAGAATCCACAGAAACATATCATAGACACAAATTCACAAGAAAAAAAAATCCAAGCATAAAATATGCATGTCTCTTTCGAGTGTTCATCTTCTCAGCATTAGTAACAAATTGTATCACTCATTATCTAGCATTATCGGTAGAGTTATTTTACAGAAACAAATGCACGACTAAAGAGGTTGGAAAGGATCACGTGAAGCACGGGGCTAACCATCGATCGATACATAATTAATCAACAAGCTTACTCTCCCGAGGGTAAATAAAATGCTTGCTATCTACGTTAATTACCAGAATTACGCATTGCACAAAGCCTGAATTTCGTTAAACATAATACCAATAAAACTAACTAATTGTGCAACCATACATCAATCATTGAAAAATTCAATGCATAGCAGTGATGTTGTTTCGGCCAAACTCATTAATATGCAATTTCTAGATTGAAGAAAAACAAATGTTAAAGTATGTTAGTCATCTTGAATCATTAGCTCTCTTTACAAAAAAGAAAAAAAAGACGTAATAATTAATTTCATTCTTAGTATTACTATATCAGACCTAATTTGATTTTATAAAATTGAAATATCTCCACTGCATCTAAACGTAAAAAAAGTATACGAAATAATTGAACAACACCGCTGTGAAGGCATCTGAAAACAAGAAATAAAATACTGAAACAAAAATAAATAAAAACGTATAAAAAAAAAATGAATGCAAATAATGTGTCATAGCTGTACAGATACCCAAATAAGAATACATATGTAACACCAAAATGTTTATACAAAATGTGATTTATGCTAAAAATAAAATGGAATACGTAAACTGCAACCTGGATGAAGCTCAGTAAACTACTGAAGTCATAAATTACAGTACAAAATGATTGTGATACAAAAGAAATAACAACACCTGAAACAAAAATAAACACTGGGTTTCACAACAAAGTCACCAGATTTTTTTTTTGGACAAAGCATAAAATTTGTGTAAAATGAATTGGATTTACACAGCGGCATATTATGAAAATTTACTCTACCCGCTAGTATTTGTTTTTGGTTCTTTCTCTTGTTTTTTTTTTTTTTTTTTTTTTTTTTTTTTTTTTTTTTGTAGGGAGTGAGCTGCAGTTCATAAATTGAAAAGATCCAAATTTAACTTTAGCAGGTCACCTAAGAAGTTTCTAGATGTATGTCCGCTGTGTAAAGAAGTGTAGAAAGGAGATGTAGAACACAGTGAACAGCATACACCAACATGCATTGCTAGAATACCTGAATCTGACAGATGACTTCCAAACCTAGCAGTAGCTTTAACTGACGTGGAGGAACGCAGTTTTTCACAACTTGTGTAAACTTCTGTTTCAGAAAATGATTTTGTTGTGACTGTTGTATTTGTTATTAATGTGACATTTTGTGACTCGACAGTCGTAGTTTCATTTTTTTCACTACGAGATTCTGTCGTCTCCGTTACCAGAGACGCCCTTCGCTTTTCCTCTTTCATAGCCTCCCACTCTGCCATGGTGTAAATCTTTTTCTTTTCTTCATAGGGTCCCCATGAAAAAGGTTTATTTTGCACACTTTTATTATCTTCCTCTTCGTCTGACTCATCCCATCCGTATCCGTCATTATCATCTATTCGGAAACTTTTCAAAACATTTCCTTCTTGATCTATTAAAGGTTCTACACCATGTCCGCTTTCACGATAACTGTGGTAGTTATCTATTAGCCACTGCTTCTCTCGGCGCTTCCTTTCCTCGTAAGATTCTGCAGAGACCTGCATTATTTCTGTACTAGAATCACTTCGCTGGGATCCTGCAGATTTCATGGTCTCAACAGATGACCTTGAGAAAATAGAACTATCCACACTGTACATAGAAGACTCCATTAAGTTTTCTCTCGATCTCGATTTTGACGATTCAAGGGAATCTATTGATGTCTGCATGATATCTGCTGCCTTAGGTCCGTCTTCTTCATCACAGAGAGAGTCCGTTTCCACTTTGTCAACTGCTGCATTCTTTTTGTCAGTTTCAAGCGAGTCAGTTGATTTTTCCATGATGCCTTCCTGTCCAGCAAGAGAATCAGTGTCATATTTGTCTTTATCACTAGAGGACTTTAACCCTAACTGCTCACCCAAGGAATCTGAAGAAATTTTCATTGATTCTTCATCACGTAAAGAGTCTTCATCACATTCTTTCATGGCTTTTTGATTTACAATTACACTCGATGTTAGGGATGTCAACTCTGATACGTCACCCTCTAAAGAGTCTACTTCTGCTTGATCTAATTCTTTTTTAGATGTTTTTTCCTCACTAAGAGAATCTTCAAAGTCTTCATTTTCTTCAGCTTGAAATTTTTCTGTTTTCTTGGATGATGTCATATAAGACATTAGAGTAGTAGATTTCTCCGATTGAATTTCTTCAGTAATTAGTGTCCCAGATTCCAGAATTGATACAATCTTTTGTGCTTCAGCTTCCAGTTCATCTGCTAAAGCTATTTCCTGCTCTAATCGCTCAAATTCATTTAGTGAGGCAAGGGAGGATGTTTCACTTCGCCGTGTAATACTGTCAACTGAATCTTTCCTCTCAATGTCTTTGTCTAGTTTATCCACATCATTTAAAGAAGCCCGAGAGCCCTCTTTGTCACTCTCTTTGCTGTTACTGTCTGATGTAATTTTCTCAACAGAGCTAGTCGAGCTTGACTGGCCAAGTTCGCGCTCCAATCGTTCAAATTCGGCAAGTGATGAAGTTATTGATATATTGTCTTTTTCATTTTCAATTGAGCTTCGCGAACCTGATGCCAGAATTTCATGTTCTAGCCTTTCGAATTCCAGTAATGATGAAGTTATAGATATGTCATCTCTATCTGAACTTTTATTGAAGAATTTATTGACACCAGGACTAGGTGGAGGGAAATCCTCTGGAGATCCAAATATACGGTCTGACTTTTCTGATTTTACATCTTCATTGTCCATGAGCTCAAACTTATCTTCATCTGAATTTTCTGTTATGACTGAAAGTGCAGTTTTGTCCATGTACTCATACCGGTCACTATCGATTGATGACTCACTTCCCTCTTCCCAATCGATAAGAGGCCTATCTTTCTCATCTCGCAAAGCTTTAAGGTCTTCAAATCTCTGCAACAATTCTTGTTCTTGTTTTCTTTTCAACTCTCTGCGTTTTTCCTCCTCTTCACTTTGTTTCCTATTTATCTCTTCAAACTCTATGACGTCTTCCTGTGTCCAGTCTATGATAGGAAAATCTTCCATTTTCTCATCTTCATCTAAACCAAGAACATCTGAGTGGTAGGATGAGGACATTGAAGCAAAATCATCCAAGCGGTTTTCATTTCCATCATCATCATCATCTTGATCAACAGGAACAACGGTTGTAAAACTTTCAACACTAGATGTATCGCCAATATCATCTTCTCCAATTTCATGATAAGCATCTTTACCCTTTTTTCCATCAGTGGATTTGATTTCTGTCTGCCGTAAATCTTGATTTGTAGCAGGTTGTAAAATTTCCATGTTAGTAGTATCTGTGGTTAATTCCACTCCTTGAGATGCAGTTTCTAAATGTTGCACATCATCTTTATAATTGTTTTCTAAGGAATCATCACTATCGTATTTATCAATATATCCAGATCCTGCTACATCTTCCTCAAACTTTGAATATTCGTTGGTAAAAGGTTCATGATCTGTTTTGGTCTCAGCATTAACCCTGGTATCAATATTCGAAGGAGAATGACTCTCTCCGTAGTCCACTTTATCAATGGGAAAAACAACCGTCAATGGTCTTGTTGAGGACTTTATATGAACTTCCTCTTTTTCTTCGCTTTCATCTTTAATTTCAATTTCTTCAGGAATGCAGACTTTCCCAAAATTGCCATGAGATGATTGATATGAAAGCTTTGAACAATCTTCCAAGTTAGCGTCCACTATATCCTCTGGTTCCTCTGGGATACATTCACTTGAAAAAACAATGGTTTGTTGAACTTCTGCTTCTATTGGTACATCAGTGTCAATTATATTTGACTTTTCACTCTGCAATATTTTGTCCTCAATACATTCTGATTGATGAGGGGATGGGGATTCATCATCTTCATCATGATAGTGTGTTGTTAAAGTGATTCCAGGGATATCTTCAGATATCTGCTTCATAAGTATAGAATGTTTCTGTTGTGACGAAATCTTTTCCCCAATTCCAGTGTCTGACTGCTTGTCTTCTTCAACTGTATCATTAGCGTCTTTCTCCGTTTTAAAGTCATTTCCCTCGTCTAAAAATCTATTTCTCTCTACAGATACATCAACACTGTACAGGGTGTCACACTTCTTTTCCGTATCAGTAGTTTTACTCTCATTGTTCGTGTCAAGAAATGACGATTCTTTACTTATTCTACAACGGGCTTCTGTCAATACAGATTCAACAAATTCACTGGCTTGAGCTTCAATTTCATCATTTTTAACAATAGCCTCAGCTTCATCATCGAAAAAGTGCTGATTTTTGTCAACTGGAGTCGGTGTAGAAGGTCTATCTAAATCATATGCATCCATGTCCAGATCAAAGGGTTCTGAATGCTCAACTGAAAACAAAATATCTTCCCTTTCATCACATTCATCATCATTTAAATTTGTATCGAAGGAATCCTCCCCAGTGTTATCAAAATCGTCTTCAAAAGTTTCATCATAGGGACCAACACATTCCGGTTCCATTTCGACAGTTGCAAGTCCAACAAATTCTTTAATTTCTAATGCCCGTTTGCCATGATAAATTTCATCAATACTCTTATCCTGGCTTTGGTCAGTTTGTTGCTGTTCTGCATGAAGTTCTTCAATGTGAATATTTCCCGAATCTAACTCGGCAGGGTTTTCCATTTCTTTGCTTACACTTTGATCAGAGATGTCCTCCTCCGTTTGGGAAACTAGTGCCCCTGTTACATTTACAGAGTCTGATTCCGTATCTGGTTCTTGACGTGCATACTGAGTTGAAGATAATGTCATAAGTGTATGTTCCTCTGATGGCATCTCGAGTCCGTACAGTGTCTGGTCTGAAGAAATTAAATATTCTTGGCTTGTTATAGCCAATTCTTCTATCATGCTTCGAGTTTGAGCTGTTTGTGATTCACACAAAACATTTGAAGCAAGTCCTGTTGTGTCAATGGAAGTGCCCTCCACTACTGGTTCATTGTCCGGTGGTGATGATTTCTCATCCTGTGATGCACATTGAAGTAAGTCTGGCTGAGAAACCACTGGGGAGTAAGACTGTGATATTTGCTCGCAATTTACATCTATATCTGGGTTGTATTCAACCTCTGTTGGGCCATTTGGTAACGGAGATGGCACATCAGATTCGACTGCAATTTCTACTAAGTCAGGAAGTGGCTCAGTATTGTGTTGCAGTGACGATCCTATTGTGTCAAATAATGAGTCTTCTTCTTTTTCACTTGTTTCGCTACTTATGAGTGAAGAATGGTCAAATGAAGAATCGCTTTTGGGTGTTACCTGTAAAGTCTGAGATTCTCTTTCTTCTATTGGGAAAGACAATGTCATTGTAACCTCTTTATTTTCTTGCTCCTCATCAAATTGCGTACTCGCTTTGCTTAATCTGACTTCCTCAAAGTGCTCTTTATAGTGTTCATACCCATCTAATTCACTAGGTGACATCATTTCAAAGGGTGATGATGATTCACTGTCCCTTCCACCATATGCGCCTTCTATTTTTGAATCACTCTGAAGATCAATTTCTTTTAAATCAGGTAAGGTATTCTCTGTTGCATGTTTTGTTTCATTTGATCTGTCTGATAATGCTTTTGACTGAGTATAATTTGGCTCAAACATCCGTTTATTCTCTATTTCAAATACATCATCTTCTGGACTCGAAAGTATAGCTTTTGCTGTTGGGGGTGCCACAAATTGTTTTTCGACGGTGTCTGGAGAGACATCGTATGTTGCTACAACTTTTGACACTTGTCCTGAATCAAGGTCATATGACGCAGCTAGAATTGTTGGTTCCATTTCTGATGATGATGTTGAGGTCTTTACTAAGTCTTCACTTGACCCAGAGCGCAAATGACATATTTCCCTTTGAAATGTGACATGCTTTTCAACGATTGGTGGTTTAGTATCCTCTTGTTCTTCATCTGGAAAGTCATCTTGAGGTGCTTCATCTATTGGTGATAACTTTTCCTCTGTTGTATCACCACCAGTTTCGGAGGATTCATAGATCTCATTATCAGCAATGGACTTCCCTATTGACGGTAGTGCCATTGGAAATTTTCCATGTAATGACGTAGGCATCTCCTTCGTAAGAAGCGGCGCTTCATTACCATCTTTGTCTTCTGAAGGTTCTGCTTCCGTCACAATAATTCCAGCAAATGGAGAGGTTTCTATCGTTGGTGTTACTGCTGTTTCGGTAAAATCATCTCTTTCAAACAATTCATCCCCAGTTACACTTGCAAATTCCTTTTGATTACCATCATCAGAAGCACTTAAAGAAACCTCTATTTGATCATCTCTTGTGGAAGTGCATGAATCTTGATACTGTATTTCATCTGTGCATTCTTCCTCATAATGATGTCTTTTTTCCATTATAGATGCAATAACTGCCATTTCATGGATTTTATCAATTTGTTCATGAGGCTCATGGAGGACTGTACTTTCATAATTTTGCTCTTCACTTTCATCACTTTGAGAACTTTCGAAGTCTGAATCTTCTGTAATATCCACCGTTTGTTCTGCAAAACGAACTTCTTTCTTAAACTCTTTTCCAAGTGAATCATGCTTTCCAGAAAATAAACTACTTCGCCGCACAAAATCAGGGTCTTTTATTTTGTTCCTTCTAAAGAAAGACCCCATGTCTATGCTTTTCATGGCTCTCAAATACTTTTTTTCTGTTTCATTCTGTTCGTAAGTTTCTGAAAACTGACGTGTGAATTGATATGCACTTTCCCAAGGGATTCTCATGTAAACTCCCGAGTATTCATCAAAAACTGTCATTTCATTTGTCTCAGAACTACTGTCTGAATCAACATCATCTATATCCTGGTCATCCTCCTCATTTCCTTCTTCATCATCTTTAACACTATCTAAAACACCTTTTTCAGCTAGCTCAAATTGGAATTCTTTTTCTTCAAGGTCCTCAGGAGATATTTCCTCAACTGACTCGATTCTTTTTCTTGATTCCATTTCCTTTGTCCTCGATGTGTCTATAACCAAATTTTCTGCAACACTTTCAAAATCCGGGTATTCAGTGTGAAGGTTGGCAGAGGTGTCTGTCTGTATATCTGATGACTGCTCTAAAACAACCTCTTCCTCTGTCTTGTCAACTTCGTAGGCGCACATCAGACATTGCTCATCAATTTCCTTCCGTTGTTTTGAATCTGGCTGTATGTCTACTTCTGGCTGCTCTTTTTTATTTTCTTTTGAGGATATAAAACGTTCTTGGTGTTCTGATGGCGAAGTACCAACAGTACATGATTCTGGTTTTGACAGAGAGGTTTTATCATGTAAATCGGGTGACTCAATTGAATAGGCCGGTGAATATATTTCAGTGGGCGATTCGGTAATAGAGAAAACAGGTTTTTCTGTTTCAAAATGTAAGTCTATAACAGGTTTTGGAAATGATTTAGCAATAACTGGAGAAAATTGTTCCTCTACGTCAGTTTCATTCAAATTGCTTTCAGTTGCTTCGCAGGCTTCAGCATCTAAATAGTCAGTTAGTAGTTATTTAGTTGGGATTGTAAATCTGTATAATAATGTCCATAAATCAAAAACACGGTTTCATTTATAAGGTATAATCTACTTTTGCTATTGTTAAATCCTTTCTGGAAGGATAGGTTTAAGCAGACGGTTGCATTGATCAAGCAATTGATTTCAAATTACCCAGTGTTTATAAAATTAGAATAAATTAATAAGTCATTTGTTTGTCTTTCGTGAGTAAAGAATATTTGATTAATGAAAAATGTAACTCCGATTATTTAATATTCTTTTTTAAAACGATTAAATTACATGAAAGTAACACAAGACAAACAAATGACTTTTAAGAAATTAGTGTAAAAACAGGATGTGTACCTTCATCAGATGCATCGTCATCATGCTGTGCCACCTCCGAACTGGAGGTACTTATTTTATCATCAATTTTATCCTCCTCAATAGCAGCTTTAAGTCGTAAACATATGAAGTTATTCAAGGTTATTGAAAACTGTTAGTGTTGCACACATATGATCAACAAACCATGCAAAATTGTCCTAAAACTTCCTTTCTCAAGAAAATAAAATCTTTCATCCTTCGAATTATTGCTTAACTGATATACAGTACAGGAATGAAATTTGACTAGTTTCTTCAATATAAACACTTTAAATGATTTTAAACAACAATCACAATTTGTATCAAACATTTAAATTCATACTAAAAAGGGGGAGGGGATTAATAATGATTCTTGAAATAAAAACTTCCGACGCTTAAAGCTTTATATTACTAGAATATCAATATAAATTTACCTTTTTTGTATCTAAATACATGTAATTTAAATTTCTCTCCTGAATAATTTAAATATCTTTGCTGAATAATAATACTATGCATCTCAAATGCCACAAAGGAAAAACTGAAATACAAGAGAAAGACTAAGAATAAAAGGATAAGGAAGTGAGGCACTTCTCACCTAAGTCTGAGTGAAGAGACTGATCTGTCGACTCTTTGGCATACACCTGTTCGTAACTAGATGTGCGATTATCTGAGCGTAAATGAAGATCCATTTGCTTGGTGTCAAATCGGTCTCCAATTTCTATCTCACTAGCATCCAAAGACAACCTATTAATTTTTGGATCAAGTGGAACTCCATCATAGACATTTTCATAACTTGAGAAAACATTCCTTGCATCTGATGTTAATTTATCTACTTGGAGCTGTAAGCCAGGCAATTCTGTAGATGCATTTCTTGTACCCATTAAAGTTGATTGGTTGGGTGGAAAAGTCTCAAAATTTTTTTCTAGCTCTGTGATAGTATTATTCTCAACATATCTGTCATCTGTGTAAGAAAATTAAAAAAAGATATAATTATAATCAAACAAACAAAGGATTTTTTAATAATGATATTTTTTTCTCAAAATTGTTTTTGTTAAACCATTATAGAAAGAATCATGCATGTGATGAAACAAACAATATAGTTACTGTGCACAATGATCTTTGCTACAGATAAATTTGAAATCTTTCTTTCCATCATGTCAAAAATATTTAGTGCCCTGCATTCAGGAATACTAATATTTACTAAATAAGACTAAGAGTACAAATATATCTACCTGAATCATGCGTGACTTGTGAGTTCTCATGCAGAATAGTTTCCTCTGCTGATTCTGAGAGGGTGTGAGAAATTTCTTCATCCAATTTTATTTCAGATTGTTTTTCAATAAATGTGGATTGTTTTGCATTTTCAACATTGCCTCTACTTCGATCAAATTCTAATGCCAGAGAGGATGCATTTTCATCACTTTCAAGCTTGTCTTGTTCATACACTGATGACAAATAAAACGTTTTCTCAAGTCCTGTCCCATCTGTTTTGCCTTGGAATTCGCATTCCGAGTCTTGTGTATCACTGCTTTCAAGACCTAGCATTTTTGATAAACTTTCTTGGTCATAAGACATCACAAATTCTTGACTTGTTTCCATACTTGTCTCTTCAAGTTGCTCTTCATTGTTGAATTCTTTTTTAGAATCTACTTCTAATTCCACATTAGTTGCTTCGGAGTCCAAATTTTCATTTGATATGCTTTTCTTTTGGAGAATAAAATCGTGCAATATAACAGTTTCTTGGCTGTTTTCCTCTAAGGATTCCGTTTCATCTAGACTTGCGGACTTGAGAAAGTGATCTTGTACTTCTGCACCTTCAGTAGCTAATTGATTGGTATGAAAGAGCATATCAGATTGGTCCTCCGATAGTTCTTTTTTCTGTGCAGTTTCTGAAAAGTTATCTTGTAATCCAAGAGCTTTAGAAAGCATATCTTGATCCTGCGACATGACCAAAGTAAATTCTGAAGGAGAGGGTGGGCACTGAATATCTTTCGGGCTCGTCGAAAGAGATGTTTTTTCAACCAGTTCATCAGTCTCTTTTATGTCACAAATATCTAATTCATCTGTTTCTTGTTTATATTTTGGTATATTATCAATTGCATCCTCAAGTTCCTCAAACTCAAACGTCCTTGATCCATCCATATCTGTGTCAGTCTCGAGAGTGTATGAGCTTGGGGACAAAGGTCTTTCATCCGTTCCGGTAGGCGTTCCTGCATCAGGCTTGTATTGTTTGATGTCCTCCACATGACTTGATTTCATAGTTAACGTGTCTTTTTGTGTATCATCACCAATGTTTAGAGAAATATCTTGGGTTACTTGATCCAGTTGGGGTTGGTCATCATGCATTTTTTGTTCGTCCTGAGGCTTCTTGTCATCCGCCGATTGACTAAAATCACAAGAAGAAACATTCGGTCGGAAATCGTCTGGAGAATCTTGAAATAATGTTTCTCGGGAAAGAATTCCTGACCTATCATGTTGTTGCACGGTAATATTATTAGACTCATCAATGACAGTAATAAATCTCTCAGTTCGATCAATGTAAGTTTCATCTGTTTCTCCTATCACAGCATCATCTTCAAAACCAGATTCCTTCATTTCTTTCTCCTTGATTTCATCTGCAATGGATTGAGGTTCTGCTTTTAAAGTCTCAGTTGTTCGTGTGATGTTATCAAATGATATCTTTTGCTCAGTTCGATCAATCTCATGCTCTTTTTCTAGTTGTTCTAGAATTTGCGACTCACTAAATGTATCATATACTGTTTCAAGCTTGCCTATCGTTCGTTCAAGTTGTTCGAACTCCAGTAAGTCTGCAGATTTATCTAATGATGTTGTAATGCTCTGTGTTTGATCTGAACTGTCTATCTGATCTGAATAACCCTCAGAATCAGCCATCATTGCACTTGTATGGTCTGATGTATCCTGAGAAATACTTAATACAGACTCTGTTTTCTCTTCTTGAACATCGGAAAATTTTGCATCGACTGTATGATCAGGCATCTGATCCTCAATCTCGGGGTAATCTTCAAATCCTAAGTTTTCAAAACCACTCTTTTCATCTGATTCGCTGATGTCAGTTTGGGTTGACTTTAAGAATTCACCTTCAATTTTATCGTCACTGCCAACAATATTGGCAGCCTCTAGGAAGGCATTATCAAGGGTATCATTTAGAACTAGTGGTTTTTCTTCTTGTGGTATATGTATTTCACTTTTAGTACTTTTGCTACCTTTTGCATCATCAGTAGCCATCTCCTCACCAAGTTCATATCGTCTGAGTTGAAGCTCTTGCAGGTCAACATGCTTTTCTTCTAACTCACTTTGTTCAGGACAATTTTCCAAATGTACTTTCTGTTTCATTTCTTCTGTTTTTTCTAGATCAGACTTATCGCCACTTTTAGTGGGAATGTCTTTGAGTTGGAGTGGCGCTGTGAAATCATACTGATCGAAGCCTTGTTCAGTAACAACAGTGCTTTCCTGAAAATCATCTCCACTGTATTGTAATTCTTGTGTAAAGTCATCCGAAGCAGAATGTGCAATAAAATCAACCGGCCTTCCTTCCATTTCTGCATCTGCTGTTGAAATAATGTCATTTTCAATTCTTCCCTTAAATATGGTTGTTGGTTCCTCCCTAACACTCACCTCTTCATCCTCATCTTCTACTGTTCCTGTGCTCACTCGTCTATTGACAGATTGTTTAGTTACACCTTGAGTAGGTTCCTGGAGGGATTTCGATGTTTTCTCTTCCTTGTTTTGATCTGTCGCATAAAATACATTTGAATCTACAATGTCCTCAGCTACTTTCAGGGAAAGTTCATCACTTGATGCATCTAGTGAAATTGAAATTCGTTTTGGTCTCTCGACTAGCTCTTCGTCAGAGAATGAATTGAGAGATAGCTCTTTTTCCTCTACAATTAGAGATTCCCTTTGTTCTGAAACTACATCATTATCTGCTTCTGAATCTTTTTGTGTTTCCACATTTTTCTCTTTCAAAATTTTTATTTTACCCTCATCTTCTCTAATTTCAAATTTAGCTATCGTTTTAGTTTCCGGTTTGATATCATCTTCAACAATTTCTGATTGTGCTTGTTCTTCAAATGTAGGATAAGATTTTTGTTCTTGACTTTGTAATTCTGGTTCTTCTTGCATTTCAATATCGACAAGCTCAGGTTGTTCTTTTTCAAAAAGAGTATCACCAAATACATAGGTGCATTCAAATGTCCTATCCACTTTTACTGGAGTAATCAGCTCCTCTGCAAATATTTCAGATATACCTGATTCAGATTTAAAGATATCTTCGGAACTTTTTTGATCAGTTGCATGTAATGCACTAGTTTCTGAAGAGTTCGGTTTTGAAGTCTCAGTTTGGTCATGTTCAATTTTCTGAATGTCTTTTCCAAGCTCTTGGGTACATGTTCCTTGTTTGCTCGTTGCTTCCGCTTCCTTTTCAGATTTCTCCAAGACTTCCTCAAACCCCTGTGTAAAAGTTCCTTCTGCAGGTAGATTCTCAACTGCCAACTCTTGTGTTGGTGTTGTCATTTCTGGTTCCTGTTCAAATATTTCCGTTTCGTAGAATTGATACTCTGTTCTTGCTATGTCAGATTCACGAGATTGATCATCAGGTAACTTTTGAGAAGAAAGGTGTTCATATTCATGCTTTTCATGAACTGATGTCTTGAACTCTTCTTCGGTATCTGTATCAATAGTATCAATTGACTGCACTAAAGTACTTTCCATCGGTATGCTGATTTCGTACTGATCCACAGAATAATCAACTAGTTGTTTAGATATGGTATCTTTTTCTTTAATTTCTTGATCATATTCATATTTTCTTATCTTATACTCCTCTGTAGATGAAATACTTTCGATATCTTCTTCTTCAAAAGAAGTGGTGCTATCTCTGATAATATCTCTTGTTTCCACTGATGATTCAATTCCAGTTGATGTTGACTTGACCTCTAGTACTTTATTGTCAAATTGTACAGTCTTTGTCTCATTGCTTTCCTCAAATTTCTCTAAGGGCTGTTTGAATTCTATAGGGCTCTCTATATCACACGTCTCTGAACGATCAGCAATCTCTGTTGTATCCTCAGAAACATCCTCATCATATTCAAGTTCACCATCCACAATTGGAATACATGATTTCGATTGCTGGTCTTCAGATCCTATCTCTTGACGATCAAATTCAGGTTCAGAAGAAACAAAAGCATTTTCTGAGATTTCCTCAATTTCATCCTTATCCAGTAGTTCCCAGTCCTCGTCTGTCGTAGCTGATTTTTCAACACTATCACTTGCGGAAAGATCCTTGGTACTGTCTACAAGTTCATACTCGTCTTGAGACTCAACCAAGGTCTTGACTGAAATCTCTGTTTTTGCATCTTGGTAATGAATATCAGTAATATCTAATTTTTCTCTATCAGTGAATTCCTCTGAATGTTCTTGCCTGTCAATAACTTGATATTCATCCATACTTTTGACTTCATCACCGTATTTGTTTTGAACAGGAATAGTAATAGGTGTTTCATATAGTTTTTCAGTTGTAGTGTCTTTAATTTCAAGTTCCTCTTTCTCTTTATCTAATATTAGTTTCCTTGAAAGCTCATGATCTAAGGAAGTGAGTACCTCGTACTGTGAGCTTAATTTAATGTCTTCAGAGTCCAGCTGTCTTTCATCAGACTTTGCAAGTTGTGCAACGGGTGAAGCCAATACAGCGTTTTGTTCATCTGTATTTAACACTTCAAACTCATTTTCATTGTCCTCTGTAACTTGTTCATCTGTATATTGTTTGACAACCTGCACTGATGAGGACTCCAGAACATTTGGTTCCACAGTCTCTTCTGCTTCCAACATTGATTCCTGATCAACTGGGTGGTGCAGTAGAACTGATTGTTCACAAATGGGGGAAATGTCTCTTTCAAATATGAAATTTTCCAACTTCTCTTTAGTTTCTACTTCAGTTTGTAAATCCGTAAGTTCCAATTTTTCAGCTTTCTGAGGTGACATATTTTGATCTATTTCTTCTGCCAGGGTCTCTTCACGTGCAGATTCTATTTCATCAGCGTACTGTGTTTCTTCACTGACTCTTGCCATGGTTTCGTTATCTACACCTTCGATTGAAGATGTATACTGTGGTTCAAGTCCTTTCACATTAAATTCACAAACCTCTTCTGTAGGAACAACTTGTTCCATCATCGTTGCTTCTTCTAACTTTGAAATATTTGTTTCAATGTCTTCAACTATTCTGGCTACTGGACTTATTGTTTCTATAACAAGAGGCGAAATTGTTTCTTCAGTTGTTTCATATTCTTGTGACATTTCCTTATATTTCAATTGGTCAGGTTTTCCGATTTCTTGTGTAGAATCCAAAAAACGTGAAGTTTCGAGAGGAAGCTTTTCGTCTCTAGAAGTCCTCCCTTCTTCATTAATGAAGGTATTATATTCATGATCAGTTGGGGAACTTTCTGAGTGAGTTATTTCATGGCCCGATGTATCTCCGACCGATTTTGTCACACTTTGATCAAGATGTGCTTTTCTGTCTGTTGACGGCTCGTCAATAGATGATTGGCTGCTTATTTTTTCGAACACCTCAACCATGCGATGCACTTTCACTGGTTTTGAATCGTCATGCACAAATTCATCAACATGCTCCATTTCTTGTGTAACTTCAGCACTGTCTTTTTCAACTATAATGACTTCCTTCTCGGCAAAATAAGAAACTGATTGTTCACTCACATTTGAAAATTTATTTTCTCCTGACACATCAGCGCTAGAATCTTGAAAAGTATATGACTGAGAAGTTTGTTTTTGAGAATCTTTCTCGAACATGTGTACAATCTCAGCTACACTCTTTTGATTTTCTTCTTCTACATCCTTGAAAGTTTCTGCACATTCCATAGCAATTTCCAAAGAAAAGCAGCATTAAAAGATTGAGATTGAGATGCGTTAGACAGAGAGATTGTTAGGATTTTTTAAAAAGTGTACATAAGGTGTGTTTACAGTCTATTCTAATTTTCTAAAAATTAATCAATATGTTGCTCTGTTTGGAAAACATCCATATACGCTGAAAAATAAAGGGCAAATTATTTTCTTACGTTGAGTATCTGTAGCAAATGCAATTATGTAACTATCTTAGATTCAAACTGGAAAACAGTTCATTAATTTAACACTTTTTTTATTTTCAAATTTTTTTATTTTTAAGTTATCAAGATAAAAACATTTTCCTTTGTATCATATCTCTACTAATTCTGATACTGTGTCAGAACGAATCTAAAATAATCACACAAAAGGTGTAGACAAATCCATGCTAGATCACCCAGATATGATTCCATTGGAGAGCAGGACACATAACATTCCATACAAGGATTCTGAAAGGTGTGCTACTGATTAGAATAAGTCTACAACAGTAAGAAAGTGGATTCACGTTCTACCTTCATCTTCAATGTCGCTTTCATCGATCCATAGTTCGGTGTCATCTAAAAATAATTTCAAAATTATTCAAATGAATATCAAGCTGTCAGAATCAAGCAAAAAAAGGAAAACATTTCCTTTTTTCACTTTTCTTTCCTTTTTGAAAGAATACAATGCGTAAATCTTTTGATTCTTTTTTTTTTTTAAATGCAACTGTATTTTGTTTATTAAACATTCTTTTAAAATGATTTTCTTGGGCTCACCTTTCAATTCATCAAAATAAAGATTTTTATGTAAAATCTTAACATTTCAACATTTTATTATAAATTGCATGATTCTAACATACAAATGAACCAAACTGTGAAAAAGAAAACTAAAAGGTGAAAAATGTCACTACCTTAGAACTCAAAACAGCTCATGCGGAATAGAACATCACTAGTCATAAGAATATTCAAAAGACTGAAAAAATGGTGATAGGAAAAATATTAATTCTAATACCAAGACTAAATAAAAAGGACAAGGGTTAAAAAGATAACATTATGTGAAAAATGTACCTTTACATGAAAGGACAGAATTCCATGGAGAAGAAAACAATTTCACTTCCTCTTAACATGATGAAAGTCCATGTAAAATTCTTAGTTACCAAAGGTTATCGCAAATATGAGCAGTTACCCAAGTGACAACATCAAATATGCAGTATTAAAGGACATAATACAAATGACCACTCCACTGAAATACAACTACCCCATCTTTCTAACCTGGAGAAGACTTATATCCAAAATAAGCCAAGTGGTCGTCGCCTTCACTAGCGGGTTTAGAATTGTCTTCCGTAATAGTTATTACAGGTGTTTCTATCTCCGAAAAAACTGAAATCAAAACGGGCATAAATGCATTTGCAACATTATGTCAGTCCAGCCATGGCTCGTCACCATACTTTCAAGGTCATTTGTGAATGTCGAGGAACAATGTATATAACGGCAAAGTCTTGTCTTTTATAGGTATTATTTCGTGTACCTAAGTTCTGTAACTACCGGAACTCTACAGTACAATAGGAAGGTCGTGGCATTTCATCGCATCAAATTCTTGTCTTTAAGTAGTTCTGATTTACCAGTTTTGGGCATAGTCGAATTCTTTTGTTTAATACTTCTGTATCGATATAAACTTTCACTACACTCCAACTTCATGCAAATACCTAGTGAGAAAACTGCATTTCTTACCCTAAAACAGCATGCGCGATATAATCACTGCAAACTACTTGGGTATAAAAATAATTTCACGATTCTAATGTGAAATATGATATGAGTTGGACTTGAAACATTAGTTGGGTTGTTAAGGTCAAATGAATAGTGTAGTTTGCATTCGCCATACAAAGCTACCTTCGTCATCGTACTCAGGAGAATCACAAATCAGGTCTGGTTGTCCTGGGTCGTACGTTACTTTTTTCACGGCTCGTTTTACAAGTCCTGTTTCCTCCAACTCTTTAGGTTCGCCGTCTGAGCAAATGTAATTAGATTTGTTTTTTTTTCACAAAAAATTAAGAGCAATTCAGAATTGCAAATCATATTTAACAGATATAAAAACACTGAAATAGCTGGAATACTTGTCAAATTATATAAATATATATTTTCATAGACATGCATCGTCCAAAGAGAATATTGCTCATGCCGATAGATTCTACTTGTGCATCAGGCGAATCTGCTTTTATTTGCAATATGCAATATAGACAAATCTTACCTTTACATCTCTCAAGACTCGTCCAAATACCACTGTAAATACTTACTTTTCCTGTCTTTTTCAGGATCTAAATTTTCCAGACAAAGCATCTTACCTGTTTCATAAGTGCTAGAAGTAAATGTCTGTTTGGTAACTTGTCTAGTAGTGATTGTAGTTCCACTCTGACATTCTTCCTCTGCTATATCTAAATCCTGTACATCAATTTCTTCGTCATTGTCATCATCTTCGCTGGATTCGCTAGAGCTTGTAGTGGTATCATCCCCTTCAACAAAAGCTGTTTCGGTACCAGGAATGATAGCTTCAACCTCATATTCGTCTTCCTCTAAGTTTCCACAATCATCAAAAGATTGGTGGAAAGTCTTGACATTACTGACCATCCTGTTCATAATCATCCTTTTCTTAACAACTTTTCCATCATCTTGAGTCACCTCTACCTCCTCCACCTGTGTAATAGGCTTTGCTGGCTCTTCGAAAACTTCAATTACATCTTCTTTAGCTTTTCCTGGTACTGCCACATCACCTTCGAAAATTTCCTCCTCTTCACCGCTTTCCGAAATTAATGTCCGTTTAATATGCTTCAGTGACTGGCGACGAGTACGACTTATCCTATGAACTGTCCCATCTTCAAGCACCTCTTCGTCTTCCTCATATTTTACATCTTCTACCTCTGGACCCTCTTCTTCCACCAGTTCCATGCTCTCTTGTTCTCCATTCTCGCCTTTGATGGAATCTCCGGATTTAAATCTCTTACGAATGACTTTAGATCCGTCTGGTAAGACTTGTTCTTTTGTCGATTCTTCCTCTTCAATGAGCTCGCTTTCAAAGACTGGAATGCAAGATTGATACCACGACATTGACCATGGATCATGCAGTTAAACATAATATATGCCCCTAACAGATGTGTTTAAGAGTGATAATTAAATTGCAAGCAAATAACGAAACTTGAAAGAGAAACAGAAACTAGAACAGAAATCAATATAAAACAATCAGGCTATTACGTTCAAATATGAAATGACGCAATCTCATTCAGAAATAGGTACTTAAGAGCTTGTCTGCCTATGATGGAGTACTTCCAAGCAAAAAGCAGGAAATGCTTATACTCAATAAATGCAGTGTATATTTGAAAAATAAATTTAAAAAGTTTACGTTTTGCAGTCTACATGACAAGGCATTTGCCTGTAAAATAATAACGTTGTTTATTCTTCTCACGCATTAGAATGAATTGCATCATTTCAACTTCCGGTTTGAAAACAATACTTCACCAGAATTTCTATGTTTAACATTTGCATATCTATTTCAAGATAATGACAAGAACAAAATATATGTTGTGTGTAATTATTGGCCTATATATTTAATAAATTAATATACTTAAACCCCTATATATTTAATAAATTAATATACTTAAACCTATTACATTTTCTGTTTACATATAATTCCATTGTAACATCATTTTAAACTACGCATTATTCACAAATTATTAACATCCGGTTTAAACTTCGCCTTACTGCATAAAGGACATTTAACTAGTGTTTTTTTTTTTAAGATCAGAAGTTTAAAGACAGTTGGATTTTAAGCATTTAAGGGTATCATGTCTAATATTAGATACCTGAACTGCATTAAAATTTATTCCTTCTCTGTGTTAAATCACTGTTTACTCCCGTGTCTCAATTGACCATCAAGCAAATTCAAATTGTCAGTTGAGTTTCTCTATTACTTTTTTACTTCCGAAATTTATTATTTAAACTATTAAATGCTATCATCAAATCCTAAACAAAACTTTCACTTCACATGAATAGAGCAATGGCTTAAGTGTATGAGTGGGGGAATGGGCTTAAACAGTTCAAGTTGAGGCCATACAATACTCTTTGATAATTTCTTCTTGATTATTTAACTTATACAAAACATTGGGGGAAATGGAAAAATGTTTCATCTTCTGCTTTGGACAGCGAATATATCCCAATATTTCAAATTTGCTATTTTTCAGATTACTTAACATGTAAAAAAAAAAATTAACAACTGGAAAAATGTTCAAGTGGTTTCGTCTGTGAATATACATGTATCATAATTAGGGATGGCAACGGTTAACCGGTTAAAACCGAATAATAAGTTGAAAAGATCGTAACCTGTTACAATTTTCATAAATATTTCAGCAATGTTTTTTTGCATTAAAAGTACTTTTTAAATATTTTTTTTTCAAGATTACATCTCTTACGAAGCGTGTTTAAATATGAAATGACAAATGCTGCAACCGAGAATTATACATGTAAATAATTCTCAAGACACACTGCCGTCAAAACAACCCTCATAAATTAAATCGTTATATCCTTGAATACTAATCAAATTTTTGTTGTTCAACTGAGTATCCCTTATAAAAAAATTTCATCTGATTATCATGGTTTTGCATTATTAAATATATTTCAAGAATATATCTTGCAAAATTCATAAGAAAATTTCAAACAATTCCCATCCAGGCGCGTATCCAGAGTAGAAATTATGTGTACGCAGAGAACGGCAGGGGATTGGGAGGGGGGTCTTGAGCCCCCCCCCCCCCCGGGTGTTTAAGGGCTCTGGTCTGGCACGTAATATAGCTTTTGCCATCCAAGAAAAAATTACAACTTTAAAAATTTTGTCAAGGAAGGACGAAAAAGGAAGATTGTCAAAATTCGAAGTCCTATTTCTTGTGTGTGTGTTGAAAGGGGGGGGGGGGGGAGGTTAGGTTTTGGGAATAAATAGTGGGGAGGCTCCCCTGACACTACGTGCCTGCTGGTGAGGGCCCAGAAGCTCCGGAGTTTTACCAAATATTCCATTCATTTTCTTGAAATATAAAAATTATGCCATTTAGTTTTTGTTTAGGAAATAAAAGACACAGTAATAATTATTGTTTTAACGAAAATTAATATTCCATGGAAACTTATTGTACATATAATTGAGGCTAAAATTTAACCGATATATTAACTGGTATGATCATATAATCATTCTTAACGTTTAAAATCACGTATACAAAATTTTAATTATGAACAAAAAATGTCGTATTGTAAATCATATTAGTAGATCATAGCATTCAACGATGTGGCTGAAATTTATTTTTTCAAAGATCTTTTTAAAAAAAATATCAATGTATGATAGAACAATGACAAAATAATGAATGATTTATTTGGATTTGTCAGTTATTAAATAACAGATTTCAAATTTTATCATACAGCCATGATAATTTAAATTTTAAATTGACACAGTATGACACAGAATAATTTGAAACACGAATATTTGTTGGATGGTACTGAGACTTTTTTACCCGAATAATTCTCTCTTTTTTCTTATCTTTTTTTTCTGAAAATGATGTGTACGCACTTGCGTATAGGTAGCTACGCGCCTGCCATCTGTTCGATTAACTGGTTACTAGTATAAGATCGGAAAAATTTACAACCGGTTACAAAAAAAATTCCGACTGCCATCCCTAAATTTATAACTTTTCACATCCCCCCATTGTTTTTCAAACATACCACCTTATGAAGAACTTGCATGGCATGTTTCAATAAATCGAAAACTTGAAGTCACCAATACAAAATTTCAAGTTTTACGCTGTTAGAAAATATCGTGGTGTCTCTAATCACACGATATGTACTTACTAATTCATTCATGTATATGCGTGAATCATAATAGACTATTAATAGAATAAGTGGTTGATACCAGAACAACACTGAACAAGAGGCCAATGGGCCATAAGACTCATTCGAGTCACCTTAGCCCCCCTGTTAAACATTTCAGATTTATACACATGAAAATTCTTACCCCTTACTGTGGCCCATCCTTGCCCAAAAGAGTCATGACATATAACCTAACATGAACAAATCATGGTGATGCTTCAATATCATTATGACTAATATGGCCTTGCTGTTCTGCAGAAGAAGTAAACATGCATGAAGTGAAAACTACTCCCTGATTTTAGCCCTACTCTAATTCTAAGACCCATTACTTGAAGAAAATTGAAGCCATCGAACTTTGGAATATTTCCAAAAGAATGTGATTTAGTGTGTCTCTGCTATTTTTACGATTTCTTGAAAAAATCTTTATCAATTTCCTTTTAAATTATTGATCCCCTATTGTGGCACCAACTTACCCCTAGGACCAGGATTTGAAAAAAAAAAATTAAATCTGCATTACCCGTGAATGGTTGCATATTGATATCCTTATCATGGCCATGCTGTTCTTCATGTTTTTATATATTCCCATGTAAACTTAAATCTCATTCAATATTGTGGTCCAACCCTACCATAGTTATGATTTGAACAAATTTCAGTCTGTACTAGCAGATGATTGCATATCAATATAACAAATCATGACTCTCTTGATCTTAAGGAGATTTTTAAACATTTTCCCTATATATTTCCATGTAAAACTTTCATCCCTTATTAGGAGCCCCAACCTGTATGTATTATTTGAACAATTTTGTGTCAGCACTTAATATCCCCAATCATGACTTTGTTGTTATTTAAAAGATTTTTAAACATCTTTCCTAAATATTCCTATTTAAAACTTTGATCCCCAGTTGTGGCCCACCCTACCCCTGAGAGTCATGATTTGAACAGACTTGTATCTGCACTACATGAGGATGGATGTATCTTAATGTTACTAATCATGGTCCTGCTGTTTTTCATCAGATTTTAAAACATTTTTTCCTCTATATTCCCATGTAAAACTGTGGTTCCACTTTATCCCCAGGGCCATGATTTGAATAACCTTGAATCTACACCATGTCGAAATCTTTCACGAGTTTTATCCTTTCTGGTCCAATGGTTCTTAAGGGAAAATTTTTAATGACGCCACCAAATGTTGACCATCTCTTAATTATCTCCCTTGAAGGAGGATGTGGCCTTTCAATTTAACAAATTTCCCTTCACAAAAGGATTATTTATGACAGGTTTGGTTGAAATTGGCCCAGTGGTCCTGGAGAAGAAAATGAAATTGTAAAAAGTTTACAACATTAGACAAGGGACAAATTTTGATTACAAAAGCTCAATTGAGCCTTTGCCTCAGGTGAGCTAAAAATATTCAATTCTACTTGCTTTGTTTAACATCTTCAGAATAGACATATCAATTTAGTAGTTTCTCAAGACAACACTTTGCAATAGGTAATTCATGTATGTATGCTTACTTGTTTCTTCAAATGGATGCATCATTTCTGTGAATGTGATACATGGAGCAGTATAAACGTTATTCATTGACTGCTTTTCATTTTTCACTAAGGAGTTCTAGATCTGTTGTATTTTTAAGAGTTCTTGATGACTATAAGCCTATATTTCACCACACAAATGATTAACAAATTTTGCTTATTTATTCCTATTTTAAAAATCTGTAATTCCATATAGTCTTGCAAGGGAATTTTCATCATGTTTTTAATAACAGACATGTCTTGAATAATCTAAAGAAATGTGTCCATTATCTTGACATGGCATCTATATACGTGGTTTGTGATGTGAATTTAAAACAAGGGTAACATATCAATGCTATCAGTCATGCCTACACATGCAACGATATATCGACATTGACTATAAGCAAACCTCATTTCTTCGACAGAGTGAGTGTGAAAAAGTCCTTACGATTCACTGAAGATGTGTTTACCTTCTTGTTGTTGCAGGGATGACATTCGTTTCAAACGCTTTGCAGTATCAGTGAAAGGTACTCCATCACCTGAATCTCTTTCAGGTTGGGATGTTGATTCTTCACTTGGAGGTTGGCTCATGCGTTTTTCTTCCTGTGGGCGAACTTGTGTCTGCTCCTTTGGTGGCACCTCTTCATACCGTTCAGTCCTTTCAACAGACCCTTCTCTGAAATCGGCCATGGGTTTTTCGATTTTGCTTTTTCCGATATCCTCGGTTGGCTCCTCAAATGAGCCTTCTCTAATTACCTCTTTTGGTCTCTTTTCATCTTCATCACTACTGGAAGAAGAAGAGGATTCTCCCTCCTCTTTAGGGGGAGCTGGTGCCTGAACAATTTGTTTCTCAACATCTGAATCTGCTATTGGTTTGGGTTCTTCTCCAGTATCTTTGACATCATCAGGTAGCATTTTGAGACCTTCTTCAATGGTATCTTGGGCAGTCAATGAAGGTTTGTATACCTTCACTGGAACATCACCTTCACCTTTCTCTTGTTTATCATCATGTGATGTAGATATTCCATCCTTGAGTTCAGTACCAGGCCTCTCTACAAATTGAAATTCTTCCATTCTATCAATTTTTGGTGTAGTGGGAGCAGGAGACTTAACATCGGATGACTCAGAATCAGTTCTCTTTGAGGGTGTTTGTTGGTTTTCATCTTCAATTGATGAAGAAGATGAAGATGATGATGAACTTCGAAGATCTTCCTCTTTGAAATGAACGTGACTAGTCTTAGGTTGGCGGCTGCTAGCATCTTGTAGCGATGATTTTGGCTTTACAGGTTCTTTCTCGACATCAGGAAGCTCTTCCATACTTTCTTCTACATTATCCTCAACATCAGAAAGGGAGGAGGAGGACAATGAATCTGTCCTCTTTCTTTTCCTCTCATCTGAAATTTGTCGACCTATGACAGGTCTGTTACTTTCTGCACCTGGAGCTGCTGAGGGTAAAGGTTCAATATTAAATTCTCCTTCAGTGTCTGAACTCACTATGGATGAAACATCTGACTCATTACCACTTTTCTCTATTTTCTCCTTTTCATACAGATCAGTTTTTAAACTTTCTACAAGCTTTTCCATATCTGGTTCTTTTTGGACTGATACACTTGGCAAACCAGTGTCAACATCAGATTCTGTAATTTGCATTGTTGTTTGTCTGGCAGCAGACTCTGTTGTCTGCACTTTCTGTGAATCAAGAACTTCCTCTGCCATTTCTGAAAATTGAAGGTGCAACAGCAATTTAGCATACAGGTGAGGAGATGGTTAATGTTCACTTGCTACATGGGATGCAACTAGCTGAGTTAGAAGCCAGACATACACTCTGCAATAGCTTGGAACGGCAACCGGTTAGTGAAGACTCCGAATAAATATACATGTATTATGAGGAGAAACATGGACAACATGACAATGAAGGTTAAACTACCCTTGGTCACAAATATGAATTAGGGTTGGAGTGTAATCCTTCACACCTCTCTCCAAGTATTGATGTCAATTATAAGGGAAACTAAGGATGGAAGATGTCTTTCAAAGGATTTCGTATTTTTGTCAAATAAATCTCAGATGACAATAAAGATGGAAGTAATTTGGTTATACATGTATTGTGATTTTCTACTTCATGCAGATCAAGTGGAGAGAAAATGTTACAAACACTTGGCTGCATTTTACAAAGATAGAAGATGCCATGCCAAAAGTAATTGCTTTTGATCCACGTTACAGAAATATGAATAAAATCTAGATGTACTGTTAAATATTCACAGTTTTCTTTTTAATATTATATTAGATGCGCCATTTATGTATTATTACTTGGTGAATATAGATATGTGATCATGAGAAAAAGTTTTGATGATTTAGTGCACAAAAAAAAAAAAAAAAAAAAAAAAAAAAAAGCTGCATGCAAAAAACAGGTGAAAACCAAAAAAGTAATAGAAAAAAGAGCACAGCTACTGACAAAATTTTGCTCTGATAATTTATGCATCTTTCAAATTATGGCAGATATTCTAAGGCTGGAGAAATCACAGAGTATGGGGTACCAACTGACAATTTCAATCTTAACAAAAACGAAAATAAAAAATGACCAAACAACTGCCAAAAATAAAATCAAAATCAGGATAAATTTATATATAAAAAAAAAAGTACCAATCTTAAACTAGAAACTAAAAGTTAGGATAAAAAATTGTTTTCTGATTCATGTTTATCAACATTAAATATGCCTCATATTTTATATTACATGACTAGTTTCAAAATCTATTAAAGCTCTACAAGAGTTAAGCATACAAAATTTTCTTGGGAAGATAAAGCAACAACAATGGTTATATTAAATATATTTTCAAGTGTTAGAATCAGACCATGGACCATGCAATCAAAATTTTCAGACTCTTTCCAGATTTACCTAAAAAAGAAAACTTTTTCCAGAACAAAGCTGCATATATATTTCACACAAAAATAGCATTGATATGATTAAACAAGTGCAGCAGAAAAAAAGGAAACAAAAATTTAAAACCAAGACATGGAACAGAGATAAAACTTTTGTGTTACATTGTGAAGGAAGTGGGTATGACTGGAACATTTATGTCTGAGATCTAGAACTCCAAACCATTATTATCAAACCGATCATGTGATTTCACCAGCATAATGACAAAACATTATTTGTCAAAGTTACACTTTCATTTTTTTTCCCCCATTTCAAATATTCATTGAGCAATATCTTGTCAACCATGGTGAAGCAAACAACTTGAAAACAAAGGAAGTCAAAAAACAAGCTCATGTTTTTTTTATTTTACACTAAATCCAAATTTTATTGCATCACAACATTAGTGCAATTAAGCATTTTTTGACAAAGTTGGTGAACATAAACTGAAAGAAGATAAATGAATTCTCCATAAGAAAGCAGAATAGCTAAATAAGAAATCCTTTTCAAGCATGCATAAATACTTAAATCTCTACAACTCGATAAATCTGGACATCAAGTTCTAATACATGTATATAAATAGTAACAATTAACAGTTTTCAACGACTTCAACCTTCAAGCATTCTAATAATATCAAGTATGCATAAAATATTTATATATATTCCAATCAATAAAAATTTTAGCTGCACATACATGAGTAGCAATATAATAAAATTGTGATATAAAAACAAATAATGTAGAATATTTATAAAATTATCCCCAAATATTCTGAGATTCCTGAAGATTAAATTGCAAAAAGGTTGTTGCTGTAGCTGAAATCTGTTTGTTTACTCATATTCAGAGAAATCTTTGGAGGAAACAGTAAGGTTTCAGTCTGAAATTGTTATCATTTTAGTAGTGACTTATACAAAATATACAGTGATTATCATACAATTGACTAAAATCTGTGGAGCTACATCTTTAAAATGGCAGAAATTTCAAATGTATTAAATTGCTAGCAAATATTGCACACTCTACACTAGCAGGGTATATTAGCAAGTTATTTCATAAACTAACTACATCTTTGAAATATATAAAATCATTTCAGAGATAAGGACTTTTATAGATGTATGAAAATAAAAAATGTCCTTTCAATGCATTTCAAAAACATAATTCCAAATTCAGAATTTTTAAACACGATTCCTTGTCATGGAATATTTTAGAATTCCTGAGAATTAGCTGTCCAAACACTCTATACATTTGAAATATCTTGACATCCGAAATATTGAAAAGCACCATTTCAAACCCAATGACTGGTTTTAACTTTTAAGTTATAAAGGGAAAGAAAACATATACTTTCTGAAAAAGGTTTAATCATGGACCATGCATTTTTCCTTAAAATTGACATGATAAAAACATTCCCGTCTTGTTAAACCAACGAAACAAAGAATAAACAGTAAAAGAGAGGTTTTTATTGGAATTTGAAATGGCAGCAATTCATTGGCTTATCTGTGACAAGAATATAATCATATTGGTTGTCTATGCATAGACACAAGATGTTGCCTATAACCTCATAAGAGTGACAAATTACACACCCGTTTCCCCAGGGTGTTCTTGGGGTTCTTCTGTGGTCGAAAGTCGAGCTGCCAATTCATCAACAGCAGCCTGCTGAGCTCTGGCTTCCTCTGAAAGATGATGAACAAAAAATGTCACAAAATTTGCAGGTCTCATTTACAGACACTAAAATATTAAATCTGTATGTTGCAAAGAAAAAAAAATTGTACATATCTCTATAGAGTACTTTCATATTTTAATATTGTACAGCTAATAAATGAAGAAAAATAAAAAATATATATATATCAACAGCCTGTGAGAGTTCAGTCCACTAAAAGAATGTAATAAAATTCAAACCTCATTTCAACTAGCTGCATAGATTGAACAGTTAGAAATAAAAAAATATATATATAATAGATATACTACACAGAAACATGCATTGTAATCACATGCTCTCAGATCCTGAATGAATAAAATGAGAAAAGATGTGAGTAAGTATCATTGAAAGTGTACTCAGATCCTATATAGATGGAAGAAGGATATATCTAGGTCATAATTTTGCACCAAGGAAGTGCTAGGAAGAAAAAGTTTATAGGAAACAACTATAAACCTGTAAGAGGAAAAAACAAAATGTTTATCTGTAATTTTGCAACTAAAAAAATCAGCAAAAGCTTGCAAGGAGAACAGAAGCAGTTTCCTTCCTTAAATGTTTGGAGGAAATCTCTGCAAAAAACACACTGAAAGCCTCCACTGACAATGTGGAATACCTCCTAAAACTTCAAATTTTTCGGTTTGACCTTCAGGAGTAATGATGGTTGTTTTACGGATGGTCCTCCATGTTATACCATCATCGGACTCCTGAAAGGTCTCCTCAATTATTGTCTCCTCTTTCTCCTCCTCCTCCTCCTCATCTTCCTCTTGAACAGACTGTTCAACAGCATCCTCAATCTCATGAACCAGTTTTTCTTGTTCTAAGTTTGAGCATTAAAGGAAAGTTTAGTATTTTTGAAATAAATGGGTTTAGGTGTTAACACTTGATTTTTTTTTTTTTTTTGATGGGGGGGGGGGGGGGGGGGGTGATTCCATCTGTAGTGTATGTAGGGAAAAAAAGTTTTTGGGGGGAGTGTAGTGAAGAATACAGGTAGTTCCAAAATTCTTACAAAATATATATGGAGAACATTTTTCAATTATTGTAGAAGCAAAAATTATTTTTGAGGGATTTAACTTAATGGTAATTTGTGGATAAGGCTATTCAACAAAATTATTTTTTTTTTAAAGAATTCTGTGAATTCTAGACAATTATTAATAAAATACATGTAATGATATAAGAAACCATGAAATCAAATTCTGATAAAAATAACTTTTAAGTTTAAAACCATGAAATCTTTACCTAAATATTTTCTGATTCTAATGTATTCAAAAATTTTCAGCAGTAATGCATGGTAACATTTGAGTCTCGCATTAAACTGGTGACATATTGCATGTTGATTTTGAGTTTCTTCAAGAAGTTCATCAGACTTTAGTATTACATAAAAAGAAGCAAAATTCTAAGGGAAACTCTCTGCCAATTTATTATTTACTTGTGTCTTCTTTATGTCAAGCATAAACTAAATGATGTGTCCTAAAAGTAGTGTGGACAAGCATGACCCTTTTTTACTTCAGTCTTGTGTAGATCACATACATATACTAGTATATGAAGTAATGAAAGATGAATAATTAAATAAAAGTACTGTAAAATCACGAGGGCCATAAAGTCACATCTAACATTCATAACCTGCAAGTTTATACCAGCCACATCTACAAACTATGCTTAAACAAAATGTTTGCAATCATTCCTTTCAAGATTAGCCAAACATCTGATCATCACACAAAGCAAGATGTACTGTGAAAAATGCACACACAACAGTCCATTTCATACTTCCATCTATTACAGAAGCAGTATGATTCCTATTCTATCTCAATATTACATGTTATCTCAATAACTCAGTTAAGTTAAGCATAAATAGTTCTAAAGCAATAACTAATGAATTTAGATGTAGGAGATGGATTATTCCATATAGAGAATTCCAATATATGTCAGTGCTGAGTATAATTTTTTATTCAAATAATATTTTTTTTAGACAGTGACAATTACAGTGTAGCTGTTAGGATCAAGTCTTTAGTTACAGGAATTAGAAATATTATTTCTAAATGTTAGATCTAATTTTATGAACACCACTTCACCATATATTATTCAGAGTGTGGTATCTACAAATAAATACATTAAACAAGGGAACAACAAATTAACACCTGTGTCTGCCCCTCCTCTGCACGAAGACAGATTTACCAATATTATAAAACAGGACTTTCTCAATAATATTATTTGATAAATTTATTCTCAATTGTGTATTTCAAACCAAAATTATTCTTAAAAATCAAATTTCCAAACAATTCTGACAGTTTTTAATTATCAGTTTACCTGCATGAGATTTTTTTGTCTCTGATATAGAATTGAAATCTACGAAGAACATAATATCTTTCTTTTAAATAAAATGAAAAAAAGGGACAAAGCACCAAAAAACAGCACATAGCAAATATTAAATTTCTGTAAAATTCCAAAAATCTTTCATATGCAATGTTGTCATGCTATGTGCAGCAGGAGTTGGCAGACACATTCCATCAGTGTTTATAGTACCTGGTACAAACTCTCCCTCCACAGGACTAGGAGGTGGTGTCTTAGTGCCCTCCTCATCTGTAAACATTCAATAGTGGACAAATGCAGAAGGTGTATTGACACCAATTAGTTTTTAACTATTCCTAACAAATACATGTACTACAAAACCATAGAACCAAGATTATTCTATGACCGTATTTTGTGCATGCACCTCTTCTTAAGAACCCATACAAACATACGCAACATTGCATGAGAGATAACTCTTACTGAGAAAAAATGACTATTATTCCTTTATAAAATTGTCAAATTAAAAGGCCATGTCTGTCAAATTTTTCCTCACAAGCTATACTGAATCTGTGTGCATTTTAACTATAAATTAGATTTTTTTTTTGAAAAATCATTAGCATTACGGCCAAATTTTATGTGAGTAAACAAAGGGGTGATGAATCTTAGGAGCAATTTTTAATTGCATCTGGTTACGGTAGTTGATAACATCTAGACAAAATATCCCTATACCAAAAATAATTGGATATGTTATACAGACATGTACAGATCATAATTATTTTGCAGATTTTCAAGTGCTAAGTGGTTCTCTAAATAATAAGGAATGCATGAGAATATTCATGCAGAGTCCAATGCTAAATAATTCATCTCAAGAGAACTAAAACATCATACACTTAGAAAGAGCATAGTGAAGAAAGGGAATGTGCATGGTCAGGCCCTACCAATGTGTTTGGGAAATTTTCGTGTGAATGAATCCTTTTTCATTAGAAATTGTAACCTTTTCAAGCTGTGAACATACATGTACTTTGAAGGACAGTGAAACTTTTATTTTTTAAAGTTCTGTCCTCTAAACCAATGAAGCTGCGTCTCAAATAAAATTTTACTTCGAAGTCAACATGCTGGTCAAGTAGAGAATATCTAAAGCCAACATTGAAATGATATGAAAACAGTAACTTGGTTTAATAAAAATGATAATTGGACCAACAATAAGAAATGATTTGTTTCACATACTCTGACCGACCCATCAAAATCATCTCTACCCAATCATTTTTTCAGTACTTTATATTTATTTTTTTTTTTGTTTTCATGGAAATGCAGATTGTCCTTATAATTCTTAGAGTTAAAGTTAAAGATTTCTCAAAAACACTTTCTAAATTGATTTTTTTTTTTACAGCAATAAATATTAAATCTGTCTAGCTGTCCCATATATACATTGTAATGAATATCTTAATAAATTTCTAAGTCTGCGATTTTTAATGATGATTATCAGTGTTTCCTAAAATAATTCAATAAACCTTGACAAATGTGGGTTGGAGTATATCACGCAAAAATTTTTTAATGATGGCCTTACATTTTACTTTCAACCTAATTAATGTGTCAATGGATGACCTAGACATAGGTATCATTCATATCATTCTCTGAATAAGATTTCACATTGGTAGGGTTTAAAATCTTAAATCTTGACAGAGAGAGAGATCAGTGAACATTTTATTTCAATTCTAGATGCACCAAATCACCAGCTGAAGATCATGCACAATGCAAGTATGACAGATTGATACAACCAATTATTCCATACCTTCTGTGGGCTCCTGTGTGGGGGCTGGGAGCAGATCTTTAGGTTCCTGAGGGGCGGGGGCCATTTGCTGACTTAGTTCTTCCACCTTGGAAATAATCTCTTCAGATTTGGGTCTCTCTTGTTTGGTGGAGGTTAGTTCTTCCTCAGCTATTGTCTGGGATTCATCCATATGGATATCTATGTTGTAATAAGAATTGTTAATAGCTTGACTAAACAAGGCCGTATAAACAAATAAAGAGAAGTTTATTCTGTTCAACAAAAATATTTTTAACTAAAAACTTAAATTCACAATCAAAATATATTTCATTTATCCCATAACCATGATTAAATTATTGATGATTGTTACAGTTTAAATCAATATATCCAGTAAATTAAGAGTGTGTACATATGTATATTATATAGTCCAAAATAAGGAAACTACATTTTTGTAATGTATGAATGATAATTAAGGGTTATGTAAAATTTGAATATAGACCCATAAATACATCTTATTCCTTTTATACATTTAACAGTAATAAAATCTTTTAGTAATTCTACATGTCATATTCATAAATTACAGTATCAGTATTATAAAATAGCTTGCACATTTAACATATACATGCAAAGCCTTTACCAAAACTTTTCATGCTGTCGATATACATAATTACATATTCATTTTTATCTTTAATACTGTATGTGTACTTATTTTAGAGGGACTTGTGACAATCCGTTGTCTTCTTATTCATATATTACATCACCAAAGTATGGTTTTATATAAACATATAAAAGTGATTGTTCTAATTCATTATTGTACCATGTAGTCCCTGACTTATGTTTACTCTAAATTTTCATTATGCATAATTAGCAGATTTGGTTCTTTATGCACCTAAATATGTGAAGTTAAGAGATGATTGCAATGTGGCATCTTTATCCAAAATTTATAAATTTCATTAACTTCAAGGTCAGAGATCAAGACCAGTGTCAACTGCAATGGTGGAGTAAAATTACATGTCTATCATTTAGGGATGTGTGATTTTATCGGTATACCAGTATATCGTGATTTTTTTATTGCACGATATGTATCCTGATACGGAGACTAAAATATCGGTATTTGGTACATAATTATAAATTCCAGAAATTATTCATTTATTTCTTCGAACTATTAAATAAAAATTACAGGAAGTCAAAAAAATGTAGAAAAAAGTTAAACTACTGCATCCAAACATGCTTTATTTTATATAAATAAAAATGAAAAAAGTGAATTATGTTTTTACAGCGTATTTTTAAGAAAAATTATAGAAATTAATTTGAAACTGTAGTAAAAATTTTGTGTAAAAATATCACAATATTATTGTGATATTTTGGGGAAAAAATCATGATATATCACGATACGAAATTTTTGGCAATACCCATCCCTAATATCATCCTGGTTTATCTACCTGTTGTGTTAGATGGAAATGATGACAATAGATAATCCTCAACAGAAAAAAATGTTGCCTTCATTTGTTTCAAAGACAATTGACAAGGCCAATGTGAGATATTTCATCCAGATTTAACTCTGTGTGAAGTTTAATTAATGACTATACATTTTTATATATTAACAATGACTCAACAGTCAACACAGAACAGTTTACACAGATGAGATAGATGTTTTTATCCATAGACTGGACTTCACTATCCAGCCGAAAATAAGGCTGTCATGCATGATCTGAAACATCATGCACTCCGAAAATGGACATTGAATTCTGTTGAAAGATTCTTTTTTTAAAAAGAAATTTCCGATGTTGCTGTAATACTAAAACAAACACCACATCAAATCATAGATAGGTATATCCATTATATAGTTAACGCAGCTAAAGAATAGTGATTGCAGGGCATGGCAAGAATATGTGAGCTAGAGAATAATTAGTAAAACTGATGACATTTAGTATTAACAACATTCAGGGGCTGCAAGCCAGTGCCAAAGCTACCTGCACTGGGCCCGGTCTGCTCTTGTCTCTCTTTAAACTCATTGTATTTATCCAATTTGTCAATTAAATCGTAGAAGTCATCATTGGTTTTCACTGGCTTTTCTGGTTCCTTAGCCTGGCCTCGGCGATCACTGATCTCGGGGATCAGGAAATCGTCGTTAGACGGAGACCGAGCTGTATCTAGCAGAAACAAGCAAAATACTGGTACGTAAGCAGGACATATATATATATCTGTCAACACTGAACACTAAATTTAAAGCATTTCTCAATGCAGCCAACAGTTCCTGCAAATTAATACATTTACATAAAGTTGCAGAAATAATAAAATATTCTTGAAGATAACGCTGATATTTTCACAGTTGCTCAAGATGGGGCATCAGGAATTATATAAATCTTTACAGCTTTGAAACAATACAGTACACTCTACTTTAATATTTAAAGTGACAAGTGAATTTACTTTCATATCTCCCAGTCCCTCCTTGATAAAATGAACTGATAGAATATCATTTATCCAATGTTCCCTGCTTTAGCTAAATTCTAACATTATACTTTATATGCTAAAAAACCTACTGTAAGCTGAACAACTAAAGCTCTACAAGAAAAGCTCTATATCATATATAATCTGCCTGTACTAAGTAGAAAGTACTGTTCAAAACATAAGTGCATATAGGTCATGGGTCTTGATCATAACTTACACTAGTGTAGAACAAACAATTTTTGTGTAGTTTCCTAATCAAGACCCATATTAGTGATAGTAAATAGCCAAAGTATTAAAAATTTTACCTTCTTCATAAGCCTGAGGTGCTGGTCCTTCACTTCCAGGAGATGCTGATTCAACTGCGGACTCTGAATCCTTATTAAAACAAAAGATGAAAGAGATTAAAAGTTTTAAAGATTTCAAGAAAAATTTGTCATTTCTTTGAACAGTCCATCATTTCTGAGTCATCTTGAATACTGAACATTTAAAGAATCTTTAAACAATTTGAAACCCATGCCATGCCAGATCAAATTACTCTACAAATAAAATGTGTTTTCAAACACAGAAGAGCTCCAACAAAGGGAAAGCACTATTTAAAAGGGGAATAACTCTTTTTAAAAACATCTCAAGAAATCCCTCTTTTGAACAAAAAAAAAAAAAACAAAACAAAACAAAAAAAAAAAAATTCCTTATAAATTACAGTTTCTATCATATAGGTAAAGTTTTCAAGAAACTTTTTCTAAACGCAACCTTTTGTTAATAAATCTAATCAATGAGTAAATGGTGCTCCAATCATTTACTACTTTGTAAACGTTAAAAAAAAAGAATTAAATGAATGATGGTTAAAACTACTACTACTATATTTCTCACCTCAACTGAAAGCTGAAAATTTAAGCAAAGACAATTTGAAAGAAAAAAGGACAACACATACTCTTAAAATCTCTATGTTTACTTTATTAGGCATTGACTGCCTGTAAAATTATCGGAAAATTAATAAAAGGAAAATATACAAGAAACTTGACATTGGAGGTTGAAATTACAAATAACACAATGGGAAGATAATAAAAAATAAGCTACACAACACCTATCACCAATTAAATACATTGTAGTTACCTTTTGAACACTCTTTTCATCAAACTGTACATCCAGTGACATGTTACGTTTCAAGGAGTCATGTGTGCCAACCCCAATTTCCTCTGCAAATGTGTCGAAACCTACATAATACAAATATCTCTGTCATTCAAACATTTGGCAACACAAATTGTTACTGGGTAAGTATAGGAGCTTGGTTGTGGAGGGTGTTTTAAAACAGCAACATTCTTTCATTCTAGAGACACAGGAGATAAACTTTTTTCAAGTCAATTTTTTCCACACAAAATTTGAAATTATGACATAAAATATAAATAGCATCTGAAGCACAGTAAAAGTAATGAGATCTAGTCATCTCACTATGCAAATTAAATTGCTTTGACTATCACCAAATTGAACAAGCACCTGCTGTTTTGGCTCTTTACCTGACTGATCCATGGCTACTTTAGCTGCTGCCAGTTCCACTTCATCTTGGACCATTTCTACATTGTACATACATTTCTGTACCACATCTTCTCTGTTTATGCTCCTCAGTGCTTTCTCTAGTTCATTGCCTACAAAAAAATTATCAAAAGCATTTGAAAATTAAAACTATAATCATTTTCACTATTAAATCACTATTTTCTCTCATTCTTGTCAACCAAAAAAAAAAAAAAATCCTTTATGCTTTTGAAAATGTATTCCCTGGAACCCTAAAACAATACTTCTTACTCTTTTATCTTACAATTGCAAGCTTCATACTAGTTTAATCCTTGCAATTTACATGTGTGAAATTGCTGATTGATCAACAGTTTCAAATGTTTCTACATGTAAGGGCTGGCCCCACACTACAACTTATTTGGATCAAGTAAATGTGGCTTCACTCCCTTTGCATCCATTGGGTTATGTTGTCAGGTAAAACATAACCATATGGTTATAAAACTATATTTTTGGCTTAAATTAATCCAGGTTTGATCAAGACATTACTATATCAAAGTAACATCAGATAGTAAAGTTAAATCAATCCACAAAATAAACTTACATTTCTCCATTCAAAAATGTTTTTATAGAAAACTTAAGACTAAAATGTATTTAAGGATCCCCAAGATCAATGTGAGCTAAACAGACCTGTGGCCTGATCTCCTTTCTTCTCCTTCCACAAGGACAGCATGGCTAAGGCCTGGTCATTGACAGTCCTATAGTCACTGTTAATCTTGTGGATCTCATCCCCAGAGATGTCTAATTGTGTGGCAAGAATGACCCAGTCTCCCTTCAGTGTATCCGCAACATCCGAAAGATTGATCTTGGCTTTGCTTACGGTATCTTCTACAACTGTTTTAAATACAAGGAAATGTCATTTATATGTAAAAAGAAGTGAAGTATCAAGGAAATTTTGCATCATAGATTTAATCAGGTGAACTTCTTATGAATATCTACTTACACATCTATAAACTTGGGAAGATAGAAGATAAAACAAATGGTTATCTCTTCCTCATATCTATACTGTACATGTATATACTATATTTGTTCCAAAAATAAAATTTCACACATTTTGTAGAACTTAAGACACTTGAAGACCTTATTTCACATATGAATGAGATTTTGATGAAAGTGAGGAGTTTCTGCACAATATGCATGTCTATGAAAATTGTATGAAATAGAGCATTGACTGGAGTACTGTAAACCAACTTTTATTCGTGTGCAAGACGTACCAGTTAGTTTTGCAACCCACTTTCACTCACAAATATTTCTTGTCATGAACCAATTATTATATTATGTTATTATTATGCAGAATGTTTCCTCAGTCCCCAAAATTTATTGTCCGAGATTAAATAACAGTCAAGCGAATCACAAATAAAAGTTATTGTGATTAATACTTGGTTTGCAGTCTTGAAAAAAAGTACAGTTGAACTTCAGTATCTCAAACTCTCATATCTCAAATACCTTGTATGTTGAACTGTTTAAAGTCCTAACCACTATTTTCTTATTGTATTTCAACCTCAATATCTTGAACCTTTGGATAAATTTTTCTCGGTCCCTTTGAGTTCGAGATAATGTAGTTTGACTGTATAAATAATTTAAGCAGACTTGGTTTCTACCAAGCATATCTGCATAAGCATTAACTATATGCAGGGGATACAAAAGGCCTTTATTTTTTCAATTCATAATAGCTGCTGGAAACCTTTCAAGAAAAGGCATAAGAAATATGGTGTTCAAAGAAGACTTACCAATACCATGTTCTCTAAGTAAGGAAGATCGTTTTTTAAGTTCTAGTGCTGCCTCTGGATCCATTTCCATGGAAGATGACTGAAATAGATATTCAGTTCTAGTTCTAAAGCAAGCATTGAGAGATTAAGTTCAAGTAATTGTTTCAACTTTGTATTAAAATACAGATTCTTCATCAAAGATCTCACAAGCTTTAATTTGATAAGAGACATTGTCTGAAGACTTACAGTTGACATGTCTGGTAGAGCAATGTTGAGGTTACAGATGGGAGTCTGGGGCAGCTCACCACGAACCACCTTGGGTTCCTTCATGAATGCCACTCGAGCGGCAGGTTCCTGGTCTCTGTCTCGAATCTTGACCAGGCATGGAAGTCGGTTTTCTCGAAAAGCTTTGAAGCTGATGTAGAGTTGATCTCCAGATTTTGTGATTGGTATTAGATTGCCAGCCATTTCTACATATTGTGGTCGTCCTTCAAGCACCTTTTGGAAAGAAAATGGAAATATATCAACTTTAGACAACTATTAAGGAAAACTTCCTTACTGAATCACAGACTCTTCCTACTACAGGTAACCAATGCTGGAGATATTTTTTTGCCTGTGTATGCAAGCAATTATAGTGATTCATGGCTGCTGTTAAATCAAAATTCAATACTATAATATTTTTATCATCGGAGAGGGGTAGGGGGTGGGGGAACAATGCATGCAAGAAACAGAACTTGTTGGCTACGACTTACAGGTGGTAGCTATTACTTTAAAATAAACTTTTGTACATATTTCCAGAATATACTTGTTCAAGACTCTACAAACAGCACTAAATGTAAAACCAGTCAGATCAATGCCCAGTAAGATCTTCCTTAATTACCTCTACATCTCTGCTTCTGGCCACCTCCATGAAATGTTCCTGCTTCTCGAGGGTTTTATCAATGCGGTCGTCAGTCATACAAAACATACGGAGCTTTCCTTCTTCTTCTCCAGTCCTCTTGGCAAAAACAACAAAGCGGGCCATGTAAGGAACTACAATAGCCTCTTTGTAAAGCTCTGTGGCATACCGGCAAGCATCGGCAACATTCTGACAATCCATCAGCCAGAATCTGTAAAAGTGGTAGTCCAAAAAAATATTACAGCATTGCATGGATCTTGCATCTCACATGATCTTTAAGGTTCACTGACCCTCTGATAAGAGAGATAACTCACATTGTCATGTTAAATGACCATTTCCATCAAATCTATCCTATACGTGATGTTCAAGTTGTGTGCATTTTAATTTAGATTTTAGATTTACAAAAAAAAATCTTGTGATAACACAAAAAAAGAGAGAGATAGAGGGATGAAGAATCTCCCAAAACTTTTTCTTGTTTTTCTTGACATCAAAATTTGTACACTGAAGATGAATTTGTGATGAACACATTCATTCTGAACATGTCTACTACTGAACATTCAGTTATCTTTTTTAATTGGTCATATCATTACCTGCCAGAGACTCGAGTGGTGAAGGACACACAATCTTCTGTAAATTTCAGCTCCGTCTGGTCAGTCAGATCGTCCCAAACAGCGGCCTCTGTCCCTTCTACAAGTAACCACCAACAGAAAGTGTCAGTAAATCCATACTGAGAACATTAGACACACATTGTTAAGATCTACTCTAAAGTATGCACTTGTCTATGTATATATAAATTCTAGGGTATACATGTAAAAGGTTATAAGAATTCTATGATATTGCTGGATACTGAAGATATTTTCTGAATATTTTTTTGCAGCTATATGTATACATTATATACTTCTTTCACATACAAACAGATGTATTACACTACAAGTGAACTACAATGCTGAATCTACTATTGATATTACAATGCTACAGAAAAGGAGAAGTTTGTGTATGCATCGAGGAGGAAAGAAAACCTATGTGTCATCTACTACACTATCATCGTGCATGTTATAGATCAAATCTGGAGACATAATTCACCAGAATGCAATACACCAGTCAATTTTCACTAAAATATACTTGCTCACTACTCTTTATATAAAAGAACAAAGTTAAAATAACATCAGATTTTTTTTAAAAAAATATTTTTTTTTTACATAACACAGGTATTGCAGTCTAGTGTCCCCTACAGATACAAACTCTAAAGTGTTGTTATCACAAATACTTCTACACTACAAAGTAAACATATATGAAGTGATGTTGCTTAGAGTATATTATTTTGAATTAAATTTATCACCACAAATTTCAAGTGGGAATTCCCAGTATTATATTCTAAAGAATATATCTTGAGTTAGTGTACAGTTCAATTATCATAAGATGCATCAATTTGAAAACATGACATGTAGTGACTGAGAGAGAGTGAACAGGTCTGTTAGTATTATTGTGATTTTAAGAGAGTATACTGTGGACAGGTCTGTTAGTATTATTGTAATGAAAGTACTGTAAATCTTTGTGAACATGCATTATAAATCCTGTGTACAAGTCTTGTTCAGGGACATTTTCGAAATAATCCAAATTCAATTAGAACTTCCTAACAGGACTAATACTCCCCAAAAATTGACATTTTACATAGCCTTAACCTTTCTCAAGTTTATTTAGTAATGCTCAGATCATTATCAATCTATGAATTTGGTTTCTGTATTTATTTGCATAGAATTCCAATAACATGTTCTTGAATCCAGTAATAATGTCCAATGGCCCTGATTTGAGGTCATGAAATACCCTGTGGTCAACAGCTTACAATTCACTACTAGTATTGCATTTCAAAGCTATGGCCTGGACAGAAATATTACACTTTGAAAATAAGTGATATTTATACAAGTCAATACACAGCCTCTGGTGATAAGCAACCTTTGTATTCCAGTTTGAACTTCTACAAAGTAATGCCTTGGACTAACATTATATTTCATTACCTTGTGAACCTTGACCTTGTCCAAATGACTTAGTTCAGGGTCACTAGATATTCTTTGATCATAAGCAATCTTTGTGCAATATATGAGCTTCTAATGTTATTTTTCTTCTTTTACAATGTTATGACTGGGACACAAGGCAAGACAGACAAGACAGGCACATGAACAGACAGACTTACAGACATACAGACAGATGGACATGGTGATTCCTAGTACACCCCAAATAATATTTTTGGGGAGGGGATATGATAAATATAAAATCAATAGTTCATTGTAAAACTTAAAGCCTACTTTTTTTTTCCATGTAACAAGCAAATATCAAGAACATATATTATTAGGGTTCAAAACTTCACTTTAAAAAGATTTGACCAATTTTTTTTCTAATCAACTGGTAGAGTCAGAAAATTAGAAAGCAAACTATGTAGATTTTGTAGTCTATAGTATTAAAGTTTGTATTAAAGTGTGCTCAGATGGATGTCAAACATGCTTTTATCCACGACAGAAAATTCTCTCTTATTAGAGGTGGACAAAAAGATGCCATTACTTGCAGATTTTTCCCTTCTTTCCTTATTTAATGCAGCTTATGAGTAAAACAATATACATTTTTGTATATCATACTATATCATGCTAGTGCTATATAAATCATGATTTCTCAACACCTGAGAAACAAATACTTGCAAAATCTTTCTTTCTTAGATATAAAGTTGAAAAACACACAACGATGCCAGCTTAGATCAATATATTGCAATTTATTTTTTTCTATAAAGCAACTAAGTAAACTGAATTTTAAAAAAAGTTCTTTGAAGCAAATTGAGTATGGAAGCTTTCAGGGTGTGAAAGCCAATATGTTACAACACTGAAACAGAAATGCATTTTAAACCGATACTAATATATAGAGAGCAATGTCACCACAATAGACTTGTAATTCTTTTAAAAAGAAAAATGATAGTGGACAAAATAAAGTTTAACATGGGTGTCAAGTTGTATTCTTAAAAGTTTGATCAAAAGAGTTGGTTAAAAACCATGTGTTTGTGGGTTATCAAGTCAAGGGATGGTTTTAGAGAAGGATATTGAAAAATTAATCATCCATTCATACATACAAGTATATGGGAAAATTTAGGTTCAAATTCCAGGATTTTTTTCCCTCAAACAATATATACAATAAATTCAAATCCAGAAATGAATATGTGTACATTTTTTTCATACCATAGCAAGGTATTTTTTGCAAATGAACAGTGCTACTAAAAATAAGGCACATTGTCATATAATGTACAGGCAGTTACCTCGCAGGGCATTGTTGGAGCCTAGAGTGTCGGTAAGCATAAAGAAAGACATTGGTCAAGCAATGGACATTATAACATCTTATACAGAGTTCACAGAATAAAGACATGTCATGCCTTATCACACGTAATTTAGGCTTACATCACCATACTGACTTATATAGATATAGAATGTCTGGTTTATGACAGAGCAGTAAAATATTTCAGTGTCTCTGCTTTTGATGAAAGGTTCTGAACTTAGTGATAAAGCATTTATTATAAAATTTAACAAGATATGTACCACAGAAAAGCAGGCAAATAATTAAACATCATGCAGGAATTAATTACAATATTGGGAAAACACTTAACAATTATTACTGATCCTAGCTCAGTATTCATCATATCAGTATATTCAAATAAGATTTTATTTTCACTAATATAGTTTTTGCCTCTTTGAAATATCTAAGATCTTGTTGAGTCTGAAAAAAAAGTATTGACCAATCTCTAAATTCTGAATTTAGCCAGAATTTACTCACCAGAAATGCTGTATAGGACACGCAGAGTTGGAGCCTCATTTCCGTACTGGTTAATCATGCCTTTCTGAGCAGCCTTTGGGACAGGGATTGTCAACACGATATTCTTGTGGAACTTGCGGCGTCTTGGTTCTACAGTGACAATGGGGCTGACGGCTACCCTGTTTCCAAGGAGTTTAGAAACGATGTCTGGGGAGATTGGCTGAGCCTGTTATCCAAGCAGGAAATAGCATAAATTCAAATTTTAATTCACAGTCAAGCATTAACCAATGGCCAATGCACCTCTAATGCACAATTCTGTTTTTTCTTCAAAGCAAATTTTTCATACAAGAACTATCTTTATACTATGAAAAAATGCTGAGTTCATATATCACAGTCTTGCATATTCTAATTGGCAGAGTTGCTGAAAAATGTCAAAAAAACATTAGTCCTCAGCCATGTCAGTCCAGATGACAAATAACTTTGAAACACAGAACAATGAAATAAAGTATCTGGACTAACACCTCTTTGTTTGGACTGGCAAAAGTCAGACCAAATTTTCAATTATTCATCACAAAATTTCAACAACTCTGCACTGGGTGAAAAAATGAGTACAGAAGCAGGTCAACTTGGGGGGTGTTCGAGCATTTTTCCCCACAAAGTTTTAAGGCATCCTTTAAATCCACATGAATACACAATATAAATACACCATGTACCACTACACTTAAGCAGAGTCAAAGGGTGTGCTACATTCAGGGTTAAAAAATATCAGATTGCCAATCAACTAGCCTGGCCTGCCCGGACGGCTATAGAAAAGAAACACCCAAGATTTGACAGAAGAGCTTATCAACCCTTTCACTTTGTTTTAAGTGCATGGGTAATCATTTACATTGATTCATTTTCCAAGCCTTTTAAAGCAAAATACAATTCTCTTAATCTTGTATATTCACTGTAATTAAGTTTCAAAATTTATTCAGAATTTTCTACAAAGCTCGCCATATGTTTGGACCTAAACTGCGTTTCTTGAATGAGACTAACACAAACCTGCAGGCCGACTTTGATTTTCTTATTGACAGCACCCTCTGGGAACACGGCCTGGACCTGAGGCACCACGGTGGAGCTGATGATCAGTCCTTTCTCATCTACCCATTGTTTCTCCTCCTTCACCTTGGTAACCAGAGCAAAGTATCGTGGGAAATCATCAGTCAGGATACGGGTCACTCTTTTGCCAGCCAGTTCATCCTCATAATCCAAATCTAAGTAGAATGTAACATACTGTGAAAACATCACAGTCTTGAAGGATTTTTTTTAAGTTAAACTGAAGATCATTAAACACCTTATTTTCACAAGATATTATTTATGTATATATTTTTAATAAATACAAATATATGCAAAAATAAAATTTTTGCAAGTAAACAATTAGCATAATTATGCTAAAATTAAGTTCTTGTGAATAAAAAGTGATTTACGGTATTTAAAGGTTCTCTATACCAAGAATAAGAAGTTACAAATTTTCATGCACTATATCAGTATGTTTTCCAACAGTCATTTCTTTTTCACTTTACTTGGCCTTATTTTTTAGATCTTAGGAATACATTTTAGCTCTTTTGTATCTCATTCTTCATTCACTGTATTTCTGAACATCTTAACAATACAAATAATAAAAGTATGAACTTTCTCTTTGTTTCATAATATATTTTAACTTATATCTTGTTTTACCCTCCATGCTTTCATGCAGTGCTTTCTGTACAGCGTCATCTGTGGCAGCAATAGGGTGTTCCTCCCATTTTTCTCCATTGTTACTTCTCAGGATCTTGACTTCACGTTCCTTGCCACGCAGAGATGCAAAGTGTGGTATCTCAATGACAATTCGCCTGAAAAAAGAGGATGGAATATATTTAAACTGCACAATTCGTTATGCAACAATACAATTTTTTTTAAAACTTTCAATTAAATAACTCTATCCTGAAAGTAACATTACAATTTGGAAAAATTCATCTAGAAAAGTTTGTTTTTTTTGTAACACATTCCTCTTAACAAAAGAAATTGCTGGATTGAAACCGAAAACAATAAACATTTAATATATCCGATACAAAAATAATTCTCAGGTCATATAAATAAAACAGAATAGTGTATTCACTGTATTTAGCACCCCTGCACCCTTGTGCCCCCTGAGACCTTTTCAACTCACTAAGAATAAGTGCCCCCTTCCTTATGTCTTTTCCATGTACATGTAATTTAAATTCACAGGATTTTACCACTATTTACATGATCCATTGATGATATTTAATAATGAATTCTTGGAATGACTTGTCTAATTTCTAAATACATGATTGCTTGGATGATACTTTTGTTTACCTTGTAACATTGCATAATAAATCATGGTTTTGCCCAAACTGTGTGTTATCAGTTTACAAGAGGAAATTAAACATGTGTATGCATTGTTTATGCTTTCTTAATATGACACATGTATTGTACTTTGCTGTCATATTTTTCTATTTAGAATGTACCACTTTTAATATGTATTTTTGATGAGGATCTGTTCAAAAAGTATGTTTCTATTTTGTTTAATACTGTACATGTAACACAGCATAAGTTTAATAGCAGCCAGGCCTAACAAGTGCCCCCTTTTTCCAATTTTCTAAGCCCCTAATAGGAAGAATATGGTAGTTTATTCCTTACACTTCTATTTCTGGCAACCCATCCCCCCACCCCCACCCCCACCCCCAAAAATAGGCCTTTTCTGATATAAAATTACACATGTATATCTCAATACATTGAAAATCTTTAAATTAAAAAAAAATATTAATGGGGCATGTGATAATGTGATCAATATATTTATCACTGCCTTCTTATCAGACATCCTACTGATTCAACTGATATCCAAACAGACTCCAGATGTGTACCCCAAACAATACATTCCTCTCCAAGCTTGCATCATTGCCAACAGTTCAATCATTATCTGAACACTATTTTCCTATCACAATGGAGATTAATCACACTAGACCATGGAAACAGCCTCTATGTACATTATAGCTGGCATTATGCAACAAATATATTGATCAGTAATTGCTTAAACTTCTGTCCCGGTTTTGGAAAATACCATAACGCATTTTCAGAAACCAGGCCAGTAATGAAAAAACTGTCAGATGATTTTAAAATGGCTTTCATCTATATGAATATTTCTGTTCCATTTTTTTCTTCCCTTGATTTTCATAGACTATCAAAGGCCAATTTTAGTTTATGATTATAGTCATATAAGATATCAAGATGAGCCGTTATCTTATGACCATTAGAAAAGGGAGTGGTGCCATTATGTCCATTCAATCAATTACCCCCTCCAAAATAATCAATCTTTCCTCTAAGTATGAGACACATGAAAAAGTTTTTATCTGGTGTCAATTTCTTTCAAGGTAATCATTGAGAAAATCGCTAAAGCTCTGGGTCAAGTGGTTGAATTTCACACTGAGGTGTAAATAATGTTTGAGTCCAGTATGAATCCTACGTCATATTTAATAACTTGGCAAAAATTTAAGAAACTTGAAGTGACTCATAGCAATTTTTTTTTGTTTCTTGCAAGAAATGGTGAATTTTTGTTGTTGGTTTTTGCCTAACATTATACTTTCAAAATATTACATGTTTCTTTCAATGTCAATTACTTTCAATGAATTCCTACAAATCATTCATGACACATGGTTGGCAGAGAAAATTTTGTCAGGAAAATTTCCAGCAATACACATTACTCATTTCCCTCATACACAAAATTATTTAAATGTGCAAAGCTACTCCTATAAGTCATAATCAAAACTCAATTTGATATGTATGAAGCTAAAAGTTTTGTAGAATCTTGATAACATATTGGGTTAATTAAAATGTAATTACACTGTAAGTTGAAGAAGGTATAGCCTACAACAGCAACATCAGGACTGCTTCAGAACACATTCCTAAGCTTTAAACTTATCTAAGATCAGCTTTCAAACCAACTTTCTTTGCCAATTCTTGGCAGTAAACCTACACAGCGAGTACTTTTCTGAACATTCGATAACTTAACATTTCCATACAGAAGGGTACAAAACATGTCTATCAAGAATGGGTGGGCACTAGTTAAAATATTCTATATTGTATCTGGAAATTTAATATAAAGAGTCAAATATTAGACCTATTAAATTAAATCAATGTTTACCCCAAGTTTTAATATAGACATTGTTCAATGATCCTAAAACAGCTGATCTTTCATCTGATAAACCTAACATCTTTAATTGAAGTTTAATGTCTGGTATATCACAACTTTATCACCTAGCACCTTGGGCTATAGCTTTCTCTTTTCAACTATGTCTTGACTTTATCAAAACCCAATCATGAGAATTAGTTTGTAATAAGAACATGTTTGGGGGTTTATTCCTCCTAAGTGAACTTTGAACATCAAAGGTTCGCAATTTACATACAATGTCTACTTCCCATTATTGAGAAAATAACCCATTTATCAAACCTAAACCACAAGAGGCAGTATTGGATTCATGGGCATGCTTACTAATTTGTTATTGATGAATTTACTTGAACTTGGCTTCACCCACACTTGAAGCTGCTGATGGCTTCTCAAATGTGCCATCTCAAGTCTATTTTGTATAATGGCTGCAGGTATGCCATTTTGTATGCATGGCAACTTTGCATGCTGACATGCAATATATGAAGTATTAAGCAACTATTTTATTGTAGTTTAATTTGACCAAGATGACTCTATTAAAATTGATTAGATTTATGCTTATTTTCAGGCTATTTTTGATTTATCACTCAGCATTAAAGGGCCTTTTTTTTGACGCAAGTCTGACACTGACGTTTTTATGACACCTTTACATCTGAACTTTGAATAAAAATTTCATAATGAGCAATATATGTTTGGGGAAACATATCAAAGTTTTACACCAAATAACATGCAAATAATACGATTTTTACTGAAATGGAAAAAGTGAAACTTACCCAAGGAACTTGGTGGCCACAGGTCCCATCTCGATGATCCTAGCAGCCAGGGCCTCACCCTCATTGAGAGGGATGGGGTGAATCAGCTTGTCCTTCTTGATGAGTCTGCATGTCACCCGGGTGGGCATGGAGGCTCGGTTGGGAGGAATGATAATCCTGACACCAGAATGGCGGCGGCCCTTCATGGCCCCACCCCTGGCATCCACCATGAAACTGATGAGGAAGCTGTGGGTTAAAAGAGTCATTTTTGCAATATGTGTTGTGTATGACTGTCTAAAACCTGTGGTTTAAATAAACTTTTCCAGGGCTTTAATTTTTTATTAAATCCCTGCTGAAACACTGCTCATTGAAAACATTTAAGTTAGATCCCGGATACACAGCCTTGAGAGAGAAAACAGCTACACCACTTGTTGCTTTTCTGTGTTATTTTTCAATTAGAAGCATAATAATCCACAACACAACACAAAACCCTTCTAGCTAGACAGTCTCAATGCTTGAACCAGTCTGCAAAGCAGCGCAAACACAAAAACCCTCTCCCCTAGAATCCGTAGAAAAATCAATACAAGTTCCAAACCTCCATCTTTCACTGTTCAAAATAAAAAAATTCCCATCCAAGATGGCAGAGGCAGCACAGATATCTTTCCACTGGCTGTGCGTGTAATGTCTGTAGCAGCACTGAATTAAACCAGCACCCCTCTGTCTGAATGACTGTGTTACATACCACTGATAACAATCTCCTCAAGTGTCTAACACTGGGTGTTTTAAATTAATTCCTCAGTCAATTACACCACACAAGCCAGCACTGACCACCAGTCACACAGACTCCCCAGGAAAACTGCACAAGGCAGAAGACGTTGCCTTGTAATTATCCAAAAGCTAAATATTTATCTTCAAAACAAGCACACATGTAATAGTAGTCAACAAGAATATGTAAGGCCCTGTTAAAATTTGGGGAGCTCAACATCCGGTGATAATGACACATATACAAAACACTGCCTATAAGAAAAGCCAGCACTTAAAAACTCCTTCCCCTCGCATATCAACAAACAAACATATTGTCATTTATAAGCCTAGACAATTTTTACATGGCCAGATGACCTCAAACATTCTCTATAAACCACACACTTTAACAGTGATTCAATGACAGTTCTAGCTCAATATTTACAATTTATCAGTGTTTAACAATTCAAAAATGAAGACAGGTGCTCCATGGTTAATAGGGGATTTTGCATTGTAAATGTTCTGTGGATGAATAATACCTTTTCTTTAGTAGCATTGAAATTACCGGGGTTGACAGATTTTAAAGGTAATTCAAGATCTGGCTTTTCCCTCGATCTCAAAATGCACCCTTCCACTTGCTCTCTATACAATCCCTTATCAATGCAGTTAGGTGCATATCTGGATTTGGTAGCTAGTATAGACTGTCTGCCAGAGGGTCAGTTAAAAAAAATATGTCAAAACCAAAAACACTTGCGTGTACTATATATATATATATATATATATATATATATACCAATACATTCTGTGTAAAATGGGGTTTTTGAGACATTTTTCTGTTAAATATTAAATGCTTATAACTCAAGAATGCCAAGTCAAGGAAATAAGCAGAAGGCTATCATATAAAAAGCTAATTGAATACTGAAGTAAACATGCAGGTGTGAAAGATAAAATTTTAGATATTGCTGTAAATTCTAGTATGAAGGGAAGCAACTTTTACAGCAGTCTTTGTTTTATGGTATGCACTGTATTGCAGTGTAGCTTCTGCACTATTATCGCCTCTCACAACAAGCTTGTATTAATTAACACATGATGCAATGATAAAAAATACAGCAAAACTTATTAAATGACTCTAGTCTTCATGTACTTGGTGAAAGTAATTATCCTACAAAATGAATTTTTTGAATTACATATTTCCATACATGTTTAGTCCATCATAATTATTATAATTATTAAGGCCACAGAAGATCTCTTTCTTGCCTACCCTCTCTAATACCTGCCCCTCCCAAGTTTTTTTTTTTTTTTTTTTTTTTTAAATTTTCATAACAATGGTCAAAATTTTTTTTTGAACCCCCCCCCCCCAAAAAAAAATTACTTAAAAAACCTAATCAATAAAATATCAAACTTTGCAATATCAAGGAGGAAACTGTCATGTAGAGAGTTTGAATCTTATGCCTTAATTTATACAAGACCTCCTCAGAGTCCTGTGCCTGTGTCAAAGCTTCCTGCCAGACTTATAATTTACTTCTAATGATTTCTCTGACTGACGTTAGCTCTGTTGGTGAAATAATCACATCATTCTAAAGTTCTTGAAAACAGACCACTGATGACAGAAAAATCATTAATTGAACTCTTATATGCCTGGTACACAACACATGTATTGATTTATCATCAAAACTGATATATTAAAGGATATTTATAAAACTAAATTTATAAAGACAAGCAGTCAAATTTTACCAATAATTTAGAGAAAGAAATGAATGTTTTCAGAAATATTAGTATTATAAATGATAAAATGATGAACTGATGAAAAAAATGGTTTCATGCTTGTGAAAATAACGCATATGATGTGGCTATTATGGTGATTTCACACAGTGATTGCAGATATTGACACTACAAGTAAGAGATATAAAGCAATATGATGTAAAATGAATGTGAAAGCTAGATCACCACAAAAATAGTTTTTATTTACCTTTTCCATTTCAGGCGTCTGTGGCATAAAAGGTAAGATAAAATTATTAAATTACTAAAAATACAATATTCATACTAAATTTTTGGAGGAAAAACACAGCCTCCCCTCCTCCCCCCAGCAAATTTAGAGAACAGTGCTTTTGGGGTCTTATTAATTGGGGGTGAAGTGATTAACAGCAAATTGTAACTGTCTTATCTTTCTTTTTTTTTGTTTGTCTACCATGTTTAAGAAATTTTTTTGGGGGGGGGGGGGGGGGGGTTTATTATGCTCTGGTGCAAATTTTGAAATTTTGAAAAGTAGGTCAAACTTCAAGGTCATGCAAAACTCATGGTAAATTTAGAAAGTTCTTGTTACAGGTAATGCACATGTGGAATATGAAAGTCCTAACTTTTCTCATTGAAAAATTATTGCCAAAGTTATTTTTTTTTAAAAAGTAGGTCAATATTCAAGGTCAGATGTCCTGAGATCAATAATCATAGTATACTCTGAAAGGTCTTTTCATGGGTAATGCATATATGAAATATGAAAGCTCTAATTTTTCTCATTCAAAAATTATGACCAGCAAGGTTAAAGTTTTTGTGATAGACAGCCTGACAAACAAATTAGATTAAATGTTCCTGTGCTTTTGCGAAAGCGGCCGGGGACTATTATTGATGTTTTAAAACCTCCAATTAATGAAATATATGGAGATAATGAACAGTATTCAGGCTCAAAAGTCCATTCAAACAATACAATTCAGGAGCAAAGCAAACACGGACCTCTAAAACATCAGAGGTGGGTTCAGGTGCAATGGAGGACTGAGCATCCCCTGCCGACCAGGCACACCCGCCGTATGCTCCTTGTTATGATTGGGGAAATAATGAAAAAATCTGTCTATAATTCAGTGTGTAAATAATGGCCTAACGATTAGTATGAAAAATGAATTTCCATTCATAAATAATACAGATTTTCAAAACAAGTTTGATACTCTCTTCACATAGAGGCGTGTTGTCAATTTCAAAATTAATTTTTCTTAAAATATGTTCCACTAAAAATAATTTGTTGAATATTAAGTATTATGATTGCACATTGGATCCAAGTTTTTCAAACATTCCAAATTATTTGTGTTTCTTAGGAAAAAAAACTTGACTGGTTACATACAATCACATTCTCTTTTAATTGTTCTGAGAGCTATCAAAAAAAAAAAAATACAAAAGTGTTCCTAATTTCGTATCCACACATGAATTTTTGTGCAAAAATAATACTAGCTACCATGAAAAGAGCTGGTACAATTAATTATATAATTATCTAAACATAAAAAAATTTCTACAAAATTTGAATTGATTTCCAAAACCATGATCTCTGTAAACCTACTTGTATTTAATATCTTTTCATCAATTTGAAAGTTTTCATTTGTAGACTTAATTTATTTAAATTATCAATAAATGATTTCTATTCCAGTGTTAGCTCCAAGTCAATATAAAACAAAACTCACCCAGAATATGTTGGTATTTGATCAATGGCAACATTATCAGGGTCGAAACTGGCACTGAAGGAGGACCCACTGTATGATCCTACCCTGGGTTTGTCAGCCGAGGATACCCCGGGGCCCAGGTGTGTCTCGGGTGGGGCAGCGCTAGTGTAGGCAGCGTAAGAAGATGTCATTATCTGAGCTTCACAGTAATCCTGTAATGGAGGATAATTATAGAACATCAAAAACCTACAACTCAAAATTAAGACAGGTTTCAGCTATGCCTAATTTGTTCTATTTATATGGTGTCCACAAGCATCATTCAATCAATTCACTGTGAATTACTTAAGGTCTACATATGTTTTTTTAAAAAGTTCTATAATAAGCATTAAGCTTTTATAAAGTATAGAAAATTTAGAAATGACTTTCATTAGTAGCAACACAAGATAGTCATGTTAAAGATTAACAAAATGCATTCAATGTAAGTGATTTTATGCATGTTTACAAATAAATTTTATTTCCAAGTGCAATTTTCAAGCAAGTTAATGGAAAGGCTTCATGGCACTTGTTAAAATTGCTTCATTTTCAATGATCACTCAAGAGTTAAAATATCAATATTGTAATAAGAATGCATTACAGGCACTGTTTAAGGATTATTTTTATTCACATAAATATGTGTTAACATATAAAGCCTTATTTGTAAATTCTAATGCTTAAAGCAAATTAGATTCTCAAGCTAGAGTTTATCTGATTATCACTGATAAGTCAGTTACATATCTTCATTTCTTCAAATACATGTATCTTCAAATCTTCTACTATTAAGAGTTAATGTCTTTGTAAACCTAAAATGATCTATATATGAATAAAAGAATAGAAAAGTAGTTGAAAACCAAAAACCTAAGTTGAAATACACTTAGTTCTGAATAGTTATAGATCCACAGCAACCCAGTGATTCCAAGATACCTGTTGGGGAACCGAATCATCGGGCATATATTTGAATTCTTCATTCAAATCTATACCATCGACACTAAAAGACTCGGCATAATTTTCAGTAGGCTTGTCTGGCTGTGATTTGTATCCGGAGCTTGGATAGATGGGCCGTTTGTTTGTGTTAGCTCCGTATCTTACGGATTGTCGCAGGTAGAAATCCTCTGCAAATTGATTGGCCGCTGTGTTCTAGAGGTCAAGAGGTCAGAAAGAGAAACACAGAGTCAAAAATGCACATGCTAAGAATTAGCTATTGAAAACTGGTTTTTTATCTACTTTTTTAATCAGCTAAAACATTACAACATCTAGCTTTATTTAGAAAATAATTTGTGCTAGTTATTTTCTAGCTACTTCAAAACCAGTCTTCATATTACAGTCAATGCCAAGTGATTCTTGATGACATAAAATGGAATCCACGTTTATATTTGCAAAATATTTTCTTTTCAAGTATGAAACTATTTTATTTGATTATCTTGTATTCTTTTCAAAAATTTTTTACAATTTGAAAATCAATTCAAATATGAAATCTCTTGGCATTGTCATTTTGAAAGTTAAACAAGCTAGCACCACAATATTTACACAATACAGAAAATCATAAAAAACAGAAACATAAAAATAGAAATTCAGAGTTCCTATAATTGTATCTCATTCTAATAAGAAAGCTAGTACCCAGAAAAACTGGTCATTCTCATTTCCATGCTGTGAGTGCATTAAAAAAGTACCATTTTGTTACAATTCAAAATTCAGTGTGGAATTTCTCAAAATCCATGCTACAAGTCTTTTTTTTCTTCCTATAAATTTCATTCTAATGCATCGAAAATGTAGAGGGTGACACTATGACATAATGTTAGTGAAATGAACTCATGAAATTTTCAAAAACTGTTAATTTCTAGGTCATTCCAATGTTTATACCTTCTTCATCCTATCATCTAAATCATCATCATAATCGATCTCACTACCATGCTCGTCAACAACTCGAACCTTGGACTCAGAGTTCGTAGAAGTGGTATCGAGTTTATCTAAGGTCGAGTAATCACCTCCAAAAACACTATCTTTGCTTTTGTCATGTTTGTCCTGATAAACACAGAAAAACAATACAAACAAATGTACAACATCAATATTCAACAACAGAAAGCACTTGGTCTCCTCAAACACAGTTGTTTCCATGCAAGCAGTTGTTCAGCATTATCACTGTTCTTTGAAGATACCAAGTATATATAACCCTTTGTAAGGTAAAGCTTTACAACATACACATAATCATTGATAAAATGACAGAATTTTCATACATCATCAGTAACCTTTATTTTTAAACTGTTCTGAACTAAAAGGACCATAGAGGTTAAATAACTCTAAATCAAATGCAAATGGTGACTGTGCAAATTGTGCTATATGCAATAATGGTTATCTGTTCATATACTATTGAAGTACACAAGTCTCTATAGTTATACTGGGATAAGTTGTAACCACTTGGTAACCAAAATGCTTAACATGTACATGCCATTTTCTACTTTATTATATCAAATACATGGTACTAATTTCCTTTCAGAACTAAGTTATGCTGTTTTCAGAATCTTCTTTCTATGAAATAAATCCTTTAAAACCTACCCTTGGAGACATGAGAGAATCTCCACTAAAATAGCGCATCTCTGCCTCATAATCTGGACCACGTTCCAAGTAAGATGGGTACCGCATGGCAGTACCTATCTCACTCGTGATGCGGCGTCGGGCGTCATCGGTGGAGGCAGTTCTCATAGAAACATCCTGATGTACATAAAAGAAAAATAACAACAGCGAAACTCAAAACAACTAAACCCAGGCAACAAAAAGTGGAGAATATTGTTTTCATCTGACATCTGGATACGCATCTCTTGTGTTTTTTCCCTCATTCTTGATAGTCTAATTCATGGGAAGAATTTTTCAATTAGGAAGTTTCTCAGATGTATGTTAAGTACAAACAAGTTTAACTTGTTAGTTTGAAAGAAAAAAAAACTTAAATATTAAATTTTCAGTTTCAAATTAAGAAATCAAAAAAAATATTTTCATACAGACAGAAATGTCCAGTGTCAGATCAAACAATTTTCACTGCTTAGCACTTCAAAATAAATAATAATATTGCAACATAACTTTGACAATATTGATTATATAGTGCTGAAAATTAATGCAATAATTGTGCTAAAAATATAAGTACAAGGAAGAATAAACAACATTGATTATGTAATACATAATTCAGATTTTATAACATCAGTCATAAAGTACTCCAAACTTGGACAGTCTTCCTTTTTGACCTGCTGGCTTTTTCGGGACATACATTTTTTTTAACACAGATTCAGTTATCATATTGTAATGTACAAACGTTCTCACCTTCCAAAACAGCTGAGGATGTTTTATGGAACAGAATAATACAATATCCTTATAAGAATACAACATTTGATCACAACAGTTTACCTTTTCATAAGAGGTATCCAATGGTGACATGCTACCTCCTTTTTCTCCGAGGGATATGCTGTCCTCCCCTGCAAAATCAGAATAAAAAATGTCATATTTAAACTATGCTTATTATTAAAAAGCTTAATAAATTGTATTAAAATTTGAAATATTTATCCTTGAATTCAGATCTATTCAATGGAATTAAATTAATTTAAACAGTAATCAAGTGATAAAATTATTACATATGTATTTGAAAGTAAATTAAATCATTATTTCATAAATATTATTAACTTATTTTCCCATTTGTATAAGCAAAGTTCAACTTCATAAAAAAAAGACAAACTTTCCATAAATAAGAAAAATTCCCTTATCATACCCTTACCTCTACTTCGACGAAAACAATTCATATCAAAATTCGAAATAATACTTTCAAACCACCCAAAAACTTAGTAGAGCAAATTTGACAAAAACTTCAGTTCTAGCTAAAATCCTTCCATGATCAATTGTTTAAAGTAGATGTTTACAAGTACTGATAAATCAGCCACACTATTTTTTTTCCCCTCCAAGCTTTCACAGTTCCAGTGATGGGAAGCTAGCACTAATGGAGATATCTGACCTTCTAGTATCGACACTGACAGAGCATCAAGCTATATCCTCTACATACATCATATATCTCTATGTATCTTGGCTTCAAAACATCAGCAATTAGCCTTTAGGGGGCCAACACTCATAACATTTTATATTTAGAACTGATTTTCTCTTATTTTAAAACTTTTCTGAAGGCAGATCATTACATGTTAATGATTCTTCAAACAGATAATTTCCAGAGCGAAATGCCAAACTGTGGCAGAAGATAGCTCTGCATGAGATGAGTTTCCCCTTGGGTGCTGGGATAGCATGCTGTTAAAATAATTATATATGTTATGAAACAGCTTACTGATCATGCAAAAAGATACACTGAAAAAAAAATACATCTATATGAATCTATTTACCAGTAAAGGGTGAATTAATTACACAGGAGTATTTTTTCAGACCACTTGGCTACATATTTCTCATTAGTTATGGTATATATATTGATTAAAAGAATACAGTAAAACATGCTTATAGCAAGGTGCTAGGGACACATCATGAACATAGTTCATTATATCCAATGAGTTCAAAATATATTTCATAACTACAGGGATTGAAAATCACTTAGCTGTAAGCATGAATTCATTATAAGCAGGTATGCTGTAACCATGTTTTACTGTATCATTCTAATACATGCATATAATGTTGTCTTATAGATCCATTTACAAACAGATATACTGCAATATTACATTTTAAATATGCTTATTATATACAAGAATTTAAATTTAACCTTTAAATTAAATCTCGTGTGTGATTTTTTGTACAATATTCTAGACCAGAGCAATATAATTGTTATAGATAGGGAATATCCCAACGTGATAACGGATATGGCGTCTCAAGAGCCTTTCTTTTGCTGTACTGTCTAATGTGTTTTAGATGTTCACAACTTGTTTAATCCTTGGCCAAGTGTATTTACTTAGCATATTTCAAAACAGAAATATCATGGTTCTGATGTTATTACTGAAATTTTTCCATCCTCTAATACAATATCTGATGGGGTTTTATTTTTCTTGGCAACTTATATTTTAGTAGATTGCAGAACAAGAATTGGTTTTCAAGATCGAGCTAAGAGTAAAAATAATCTTTTTTTTTTCTATTTTATTAAGATATTTTTGGAAATTAATTATTGAAGCAATTAAACAAAACTGTTAGAGGAAAAAAATAATTGCAAAGTGAGGTCAGATCATAATTTTTATTTCATGCAGTGGATTGACAAACCAAAAAAAAAAATTATATTTCAACTGATAATACAAAGTTACAACACCAAATTATGATAAAAATTTGATTCCAAAGAAACAACACTGAGGATGGATTATAACTTACGAGACTGCATTTTACTACCCTCATAGAAGGGCAGATAAACATGTTGTTCGGTAAGAGGTTTTCCGAACAATGGAGAAGATGGCAGAAAATCGTCCCCTGCATTCACAGAAGCAGTAAAAAAGAAAGTCAAATTGAATCCTACTGATCTAATTCATACATTTTTCCTGAATGAAAGCTAAGATTTTTTTTTCCTCCAAAAATGGGTTATTGAGAATTACTTCCCATATACTGCAAAGCTTTAAATATAGCAACATATTATTGAAATTTATATCAACTATACATAACATTGTTTTACATTCATATAATTAAAATGTCATTGACATATATTACTTGACATGCATCTTATGGGGTATAAGAATATTTTTATATGCTGTTTATAAATACATTGTTTTACTACATTTACCTTTCAATTTCTTATAAATTGGATGTGAGAGAACATCTAAAATAACATTTAGCTGGATATGAATGATGAAGAAGTCTCAACTAATCCCTTATGGAAGAAAACAATGAATGCACCACACCATTTTATCTAGCCATCATAAATGCATTATAGAAAAGCATCTAATTTTAGCATTTAATCTGACTTAAATTACTGCATGTCAATAGATAAATCGAGAACATAACAATTGCATTTTACTTTAGCAAAACAAAATTATATCATTTATGAGGTAATGGCTCCACCATGATGGTAATAATACCCTTATAATGTCATAATGGTCTTGTGGTGATTGAAATGTAAGGTCACCTTATGAATTACTTTAAAAAAAATAGCTCACCAAATGATATCAAAATGATTTTTTTTTTTTAATTTATTGCATGAAAGCAGGGTATGGGGAAATTTTGCCATTTCTAGAATTCTTACCACTAAGAAGCTGGTCAATAGCAACTTTTTTTGAAAAATAGATAAATTAAAATCCTTTTTGGCATTTTTATTAACTCCTGATATATTTATATATGTATCGTAAATCAATTCCTTTTCTGCGATAGCATGACACCAATTCCTGTTTCAAAAACATGTTAATATATATTCTGCTGTATATAGAACACAGCAGAAAAGTTAGGCCTTTGTGCACCAATATATATACTATTGTTTTACACTCACATCTGATACTGGCCATAGAAGACCCTGTAAAGTGAAAGTACAACACATGGCTATATGGATTGAAACAGAAAGTAGAGTGAATCACAGCACCTGAAATCTTGTGTTAGCCTATAATTCTCCTTGTTATGTGAGAAAAGAACTGTTTTTTTTTTTGTTTTTTTTTTTTTAGTTAGAATTCGACCACTGCCTCATAAATTAGAGATAATAGCATTGACTATCTTAGTCTTCTAGCAGTGAGTTTCCAGTTTTGTAGAGCACACTAGCAGATAGTGCTGCATGATTATTATGTTCACACTCAAACTTAATACCGTGTCAGAACAACAGAATTAGTGCCAATTCTAGAGTCCCACAACAGTTTCTAGAAACTCCTGAATTTTACAATGTTTTCCCTTTCTTTAGGAAATACTTCTAACTCTTTCTGAATTTATAATGTAAGCATAAAGGTTTTTTTTTCAATTAAAAGAGATTATTTGGCAAAGAAATTAAAGTTAAAAGATTCTAATGTTAAATCTCTTGTTAGCTTTCATATAAACAATTAGTTACTAAAGTCATGGAATTCTACAAATATCTCTTTTTTGAAATAAAATAAGAGAAAAATCTTCTCTATTTTAACAACTATCAGCATGCTTAAAATCAATAAAGGGGGAATACTAAAAATAAAAAATTCAAGAGTTTTGAAGTTTAGCACCAGTGACTGCCCATCGACAGGACAGAGGAATTTACATACACGGTTGATTTCCTATGGTCATCAATTTAGCCAACCATGACAATCTCTCACTGCTATTTCCTATACAATATAATTACATAAACATATGACAATACCTATAGATAATACATTGTTTCATGATTTGATTTATAATAGACCTGCTTTCTATACTTTATAGGTGTTGGATGTACACATGTACTACATACTAGTTATGCATTTCTCATAAGAAGTAAACATAATCTCTGAAATCCTAAATTTTAGCAAAATAAAAAGTATGCAATATTCATGCAAAAATGATGCAATATCAAATTATATTTTTAAAATTAAGATATTTTTCATGCTTATCTTAAATCAATATCAAAAGAAACATGACACAGTTGTCACTCTACAGAAGATAATGTTAACAAATAATGCAAGTACAGAAGTCAATAAAATAAATGAAGTGAGTAGATATAAATAAATACTGACCTCCCTCATCATCTGAGTCTGAGATGGGGTTTTCCTGCATGATTTCAGGTGACATGAGTTTTATCTTGTCCTCGGTAGATGGGAGGGTCTCAGACACCTCAGTGACTGGGGTCAGTGTATCCACAACAGATATGTAGCCCAGTCTCTGGGCAATTGACAGGGCAGTTTGTCCATTCTAAACAAAAAAAAAAAAAAGAAAGAAAGTTTATAAACAGTTGATCATTCAAAAACAAAAATTTTGTTAAATTGCCTACACAAAATATTTACAGATTCTTCATATTGACAGGTCTCTTTGCAAAGCCACTGTTATCAAATCCAAAGTTGGAAAGATTCCTACATCAAGTATAACTAATATTAATATAAATTATGTCCTTTTTAATTAAAAAAAAAAAGATCTTTAAATTTAACACTTCATGAGTAGAAATATATAAGAGAAAATCAGCTGTTTTATTGTTGATAACTTACATTGGTAACAGCATTGGGCGATGCTTTATTCTTCAGCAGTAGATTGATGACTTGAACATGGCCCTGTTGAGCAGCTTGGTGTAGCGGGGTGTATCCAAGCTTTAAAAAAAAAATAGAACAGTCTGCCATCAAGCTACTCTTCCAAAAGTACAATTCTGTTAAAGCAAATTATACTTCAATCAATGAAAGTTAATGAATTTCTAATAAAAAATTTAATTAAATCTAAGTAAGTACCTTAGTTGTAGCACTAACAGATGCACCATGCTCCAGCAGGAATCGAACCATGTTCATTTGGCCGAAATGGCAAGCGGTGTGGAGTGGTGTGTAGCCTGCCTTGGTTTGGGGGTCTATTTCTGTGTTGTATTTAACCAGAACTTCAGCAACATTGACTTTGTCTTCCTGTGCTGCCAGGTGCAAAGAGGTTAATCCATTCTGAAATTGAAATTAGCGACTTATTGTTTTTACTCTGCTGAAGAAAAGCTCTGCACAGCTTAACATTGCAGGTTTCTGTTCAAAACACTTGTTACAAAAAGATTAAAAGAAAAACTAAAGGTACTGTGAGCAGTGAGCTCACAAAATGGTACCCCCACTCCCATATGAGTATAATGAAAAAGTCCATTTTCTGCTATCAGAAATCTCAAAATAACTGTCCAATCAGAACATAAAATAGGAGATGCACAATGGCACTATGCAATAAAGATTCTGTGAAAGTGTCATTACATTTTACACTGTGATATGGGATGAGTTGCAGATAAGAGATGGGTATCCCCATTGTCATAAAAATAATGACAGTTTCCATGTTTCACTATGGGAAACCTCTAACATCTGTCTGATCAGAGCATAAAATAGGAGGTGCGCAATGATATGTAAAAAAGAATCTGTGAAAGTATCATTAAATTTTATTCAGTGGTATAGGAGGAGTTGCACATAAGAAATGGGTACCCCCAAATGGTATAGAAAGAATGGCTGTGTCCATGTTTTGCTATGGTAAATCCCAAATATCTGTCTGATTAAGACACAAAATAGGAAGTGCATAATGGGACTATGTAATGAAAATTCTGTGAGAGTTTCAATTCATTTTATTCAGTGTATAGGAGGAATTGTGGACAAGAGATGGGTACCCAAAGTATTACAGACATATGGATGAAATGACAGAAGGACATAAGGACACACAACCCCATCACCATATACCCCCCCCCCCCCTCCCCCCACTTTTCATGCAGGTGATATATCTGGAAAATATTGCTTACATGAGCTTTAGAGTTGACGTCTGCTTTGTGCTCCAGTAGTAATGACACCATATCTGTGTGACCTTCCTGTGCTGCCAAGTGAAGGGGAGTGAAGCCATTCTACAACAGAATCATTCAAGCTTTTTTTCTTGTTTTGAAATTATTTCATGCCACTAGTTCAGTTTTCTACTGCTTGAAAATATGAATGAAAATCTTTCAATAAAAAAATCAGTGTTTCAATATTTTACCTTGGATTCTGCATCTGGTCTTGCTCCAAATTCTAGGAGAGTTGTTGCAATGTCCATCTGGTTTTTCTTAGCAGCAATGTGAAGTGGGGTATATCCATTCTGTTAAAAATTAACCCTTGATTAAATGACAATTTCAATCAGTAAACATAGATAATCAAAGATTAGGAAGCTCACCTGGATGAATGTCATCTTTAACTAAGGAAAATCTCACACCAATTTCTTTCTAGTAAGTGTGCATCCCAAGATCAATATCCATGCAAGTTTGGTTTAACTAGGACATAATTACTAGGGAATGTACAAGCTCCAAAAACTTTAACCTATACATTCATCTGGAAATGTAGGTCAGATCCAGCATCCGAAGCAAGTCTGGTAGTGTCCATCCCTAAATGCATCATCCTTGCTAATTCAGTTCAGGTAAAGGGTAATATTCACTTATCTGAAAAATATTGGTCAGACCCAGCATCTGAAGCAGGTCAGGTAGTGTACATCCCTAGATGCATCATCCATGCAAGTTTGGTCCAGGTAAGGCTTAAAGTTACATGGGAATGGAGTTTTTCCTAAAACTTTAACCTGGGCAATGACGCAATATCGGGGGTGTAGCATAAGCTCATCTCATTCTTGTCGAGGTGAGCTAATAAAATCTATCATTTAACAGAAATTTTAGCTTTTATCCTTTAAAGATAAACCATGGCCTCTTATTTATTCCATACCTTGGCGGTGCTGTGTGGTGAAGCTTTGTTGTCCAGCAGTAAGAGCGCCACATTGACATGGTTGTAGTGGGTGGCAACATGAAGTGGTGTCAGGCCATTCTTTCCTTGACAATCTGGGTTAGCGTCCTTCTGCAGCAGCAACCTAGCAACCTTGATGTTGCCGTACTTAGCAGCAATATGAAGAGGAGTGAATCCCTTCTGTAAATCAAAAATTTCTGGAATCAGTAATTATTTCATAACATTCATAAATTTAACAAAACTGTAAGAATTACATTCAATTTTTGGTTTCACTACATAGATATAAATCTTTCTACTCTATCAGAAAGATTACCTTAGTTGTCAGACTGTGTGATGCACCATGCTCCAGTAACACTGAGGCGACTTCTTCATGACCTTCCTTAGCAGCGATGTGCAGTGGAGTGTAGAGATCCTTGGTAACAGCATCTGGAGCTGCACCCAGCTGTAGCAACAGGGTCACATTGTCAACATTACCAAGGCGGGCAGCAATGTGAAGGGGTGTCTGCTGTTCCTAAAATGGAAATTTTCAAAACAGTTTGTTAGAAAATTTTTCAAAATATTGGTGCAATGTTGATTTTAAGAGTTATTTCCCTTTAGTAGCTACTCACTCTAGCTCTGGCATCTACAGTTGCTCCATTTCTGAGCAGGATGCGGATGATGTCTGTTTGGTTGGCTCGAGCTGCCAGGTGGAGTGCGGTCTCTCCACGTACAGTGGTGAAGTCAGGGTTAGCATTGTTTTGGATCAGGTAGATTACAATGTTCATGTGTCCCATGAAGGAGGCAACATGAAGAGGAGTCAGGCCAGACTGAAAAGACACGATTTACTGAATCAAACTTCTACTTTATATACTTTCTTTTACCTAAAACATTTTTAAAGACATTCTTATAAAATGATACATAAACTCTGAAACAGATTAAACATTTAATCTAAAACAGTGTGATTGCTGCTGGTTCTGAACTTGGGAAAATTATTGATGCAAAAGTTTTAATTATCAATTGTGCACCACTCACTTTCAATAAAAAAATGTTGCCACTTGTATTTATTAAAAAAACTGAATGTAATTTTAGATTTTGTTTTATGTTACCTCTGTTGTGGCTTCGATGGTGGCTCCATACTTCAGCAATAGTTCCACGACCTTGATTCTGTTCTTTTTACATGCAATGTGGAGTGGAGTGAATCCATTCTGAAATGGAGGAAAAACATGACATTCATCTCAAAAACACTGATGTAGTCCAAAAGTAGTTTATTTTTCCTACAGAAAACTTTATTCAATACACTTATGCATGTACTACATTTCAGAAAGAGCAACAATGTCAAAATCAAACTTCTCAAAATAATAACATCCCTCATAAAAAATGATCCATTTATTTCATTTTTTTAACTTAAATGAAACAACAGAGTAATTTTTTTCCTTACACAGTTGAGCCTCATTAATTCGGATGCTTGTGTTCCTGAGCAAATTTGTTCGGATTAATGAAGCATCCAGATTAATAAAGCATACTATATATATGATTACTGTTAAATCACGTTTTTGTGGGATCAAATTTCTGTAAGTTGAGGAAAAAACTTTGTGTTCGTGGGGATTTGATTTTGTGGATGAAGAATTGTTGAGTAATCATGTATGTGACATTTTCCATTTCATGTTGGACATAAATTTGTGGGTCTCTTCATATTCTTGAAAACAATGAAATTACCCCCCCCCCCCTCCCCCCCCGAAAATTAGTGATTTCACAGTATAAAATGTTGTGAAAAATTTTGTCCCAAAGATGAGGCATCTGGATTGATATCCAGATTAACGATACCCCACTGTGTAAACAACTCTACTCACCAGAGCTCTGGAGTTAGGATCACACTTTCTGTCCAGTAGAAGTTTAGCTGTCTTTACATTTCCACAATGAGCAGCCACGTGTAATGGTGTCAGGTAGTCCTACATGAGAATTAAATTATCTTTAGAAGCTAACCTTCCAGTTTTTGGATTTCTTTTTTATCTATACCTAGTTTACCTCTAATGACTGATGTTTTATTACGAGGTCATAAATAAAGACTACATACCACTGTGACATCATCAACAGGTGCCCTGTGGTACAGCAAGAGTCGGGCACAGTCTACATGGTCTCCCTGTGCAGCCATGTGAAGTGGTGTCAAGCCATTCTGTAATTCAAATATTAATCAAAATCAAGAACTTGTTCCTGTAACCAATGAGATGTAAACATCACTAAAATATAACCTTATCAACCATAATGATTTGTTCATAATTTGGAACTGAAAATAAGCTTGTGTCTGACCTTGGTTTTAGCAGACTTTGGAGCACCTCTTTCAATCAGTAGGTCCACTACATTTTCATGTCCACTCCTAGCAGCACAGTGCAAGGGAGTTAACCCATCCTGCAAAAAAGAAAAAAATTGACACTATCACTGATAATTTTATTGATAGTATAACACACAAAATTAACTGAAGATCATTTGCTGTGTTTAAATATTGTAGATGGCTTACCCTGGTTTTCTCATCAACAATGGCTTTGTTGTCCAGTAAAAGTGTTACCATATTTGGTTTTCCCCATCGTGATGCAACATGTAGAGGGGTGATGTTGTTCTAGACAACAAATATTACACATAAATCTCTAATGTATTGTTTGAAAATCAAAATACATATCAGTTCTTTGAGAGCAAAACCATAATTGGATTTTTCTCTGTGTTCTTATCTATAATATTTTACCTTTGCTTTGAAGTTGACATCTGCTCCTCTCTGAATGAGCAGGGATCCAACATTTGTGTTGCCATAGTGAGCAGCGATGTGCAGGGGAGTGAACCCACTCTAGAAAATGATATAAATCATAAAAAAATCATTTCATAATTTAAGAAATTTTCACCCAGATTGACAGAATTATGTAACAAATGATCATTAACTTAAATTCTTAAATACAGAAATGGAACTTTTCAAAACTCAAAATATTTTATAAATAACTGTTATAGAGTTATACAGACCATTAATTTTTTTTTTAACATTAAAAAAATACTGGTCTTAACATTCATTTTTATATTTATTGCAAGTAATTGTTTTTTCAAATAATAAAATGAAAGAAAACAAAAACAAGAATCTTTCACTCTAAACAATTATAAGAGACATGTTAGAATGAGTTATCCTTAAGCATTTGGAAATAAACTCAGCCAATTAATGATGAACTCTTAACTTAAGCTAATAACAGAGGAAATTCAGGTTTCAGAACATTTAACTCGATAGCATTTTTACTCCTACTTTTTATTTTAAGCCATTCCTTTTGCAAATTCTCATAAAATTTTGACATTTCAACTTCATTTCTTGCCAAGGATCTTTAAAATTCTATGCAGTATGGTCAGTATTTGAACTCTACAAAGAATCATTTACAGCTTTCATTATCCACCCTGCACAAGGCATGCTGAAATGAAGGAACATGGAAAGGGAGATAAATCATCACACAAACTAAGAGGTCATTTTACTGGACAGAGCTATACATACACCGACACTGTGAAAATCCTGTAAACAAAACAATCAACGAAAAGGTAAATACACAGCAGAGAAAACAGGCATTGTGAAAAGCCGCTAACCATCGTAATGAAAATGGTGATTACAGAGACATAACAAAATATTAAACTCGGATGTAAACTCAAGAGGTGGTCTCAGATTGGATTTAACATGAGCTACTGTCAACTTTACAGAGAAACTACCTGAGACTTGAACTTATAAGGACAGATCACATGCAATGATGTCCACATGTTTAAAGAGCAATGTACATTAACAGCAACATTTTGATTTGGTGATATAAAGGCTGGGGAACCTTTAAAGTTTACTCTCACTATATCAACTATTTCAACTGCAACTATTCATTGTCAACTTTTAATAATATTATTAGTGTAACTTATATATCCTATCCCCTTTCTTGAATGCAACCCAGAAAGTTTTTCAATAAGTAAATGCAAAACAAACGAACATCTAGCAGTCATGATGGTTAGATATGTGCTATTGCATGCAAGAAAAATGCCCAAAACAAAACAAGTATTTCATAAACATTAAAGCTAAAAACGTTATATGTCAACAACTTCCATTGCCAGTTTTTGCTTACAACTTTTAGTATGTAGAGATTAATTTTGTAACATTTCATCCAAGAGCTTTATTTGATATAGAACTTAAATCTACAGATCTTTTCCTGAACCATCAAGCCATTAAAAGCTTTTGGCAATGAAATTAGGAAATCTGAGTGGAAATGTTTTGCATAAATGGTTTTGTGAGCAGCAGATCATCTATAGACCTTTCCAATGTGAAATCAATTCAATATTTTCATCAGTATTTTTTTTAAAACAGAATACTAATGGTTTCTTCTGAAAAGAAATGAAACAAATGTTTGATAGATTTTTATTTTTTGCTGTTATGTCTTGATATTGATGCATGAGTTTATCGCATCTAAATATCTATCTATATGACATGTACAGGTATTTCATATGAAAAATATGATTTCACATTAGAATGCAATTTTGAAAATAAAAAAAAGCAAAAACAAACACTTTTTGCAGTGAGATGATAGCATAACTATGTTGATACACACCTTGGTCGTGTCATTAACCAGACCTCCTGTCTGAGAAGCCGTAAGTGAAATATACAACACAATCAATTACTCTTCATCTAAGTGCTCATTCACAGCCAAAATAGGGCAGCAAGCCGCCATGTTGAAGCAAAAATACTACTAGTCAAAATTTCTTATCTATCTTCTATAATATGATTAAAATAGAAAAACTGACTACATATGCATGCATTTATGAGTGCATGATACATTTTCTTTGTAAAGTTGTTAGTTTAGTATGAAGTCATTTTATTTTCTTGAATAATGGAAAATGAATGCATTCATATCATGCACATGGGTATACAACAGTTTCATGAGGTTAGAAAGCTTGTGAGGGTCTGTCTAGTTACTACAAAATATCTAAGGACATGTGCTCTAAAAATTCACTCTTGTCTCTCAAGGTTGACTTCTTAGTTTACAACATCATGGGAGATAACTGCTTCAGTGCTCTTGTACAATTGGCATAGACAAGACAAATTTCTCTTGCTTAATCTTCTGGTAATGTGATCTTGCCTCTCAATTTCATTTGCTATTAGTCCATTCTCTTAATCGTTACCCTACCCCATGTTTTAAGGGAATTCCCCCTACCACTTAATGAACTCTTTTAATCCCTCAATTGTGTATAAAATTTTCTCTTTAGCATATCTGAAGCTTTCTCAAGCACTGAGCCATGTAATACATTACCCAAATAGAATTATTTTCTGCAGGTACCTTAGTTTGTCCATCGACATTGTTCTGTTCATTCTGTAAGAGCAGGGCCGCTGATTTGACATCGTCTTTCCTGGCAGTTACGTGCAGGGCGGGCAGTTTGACCTTGCCCTTTGTGTCATTCTCCAGAAGTACACTGACCACTCGCTCATGTCCTTGCTGTAGGGCCACAGCAAGGGGAGTGAATCCATCCTGTAAAACAATTCAAAAACTGTCATTAAAGTGTATACTGATACATGTACATGTACCATTGTATATATATTGTATAGAGTGTGTATTTCTCAAGATGTTGAAAAGTTGTAATGTCCATATCTAAATGATCAACTGAAATGATTCCTTCCTACTCTATTTGCACATTTGATTCTCTGTGCATTACTTACTTTTAATTTTTGTTAAATATATAAGCACATGTAATACCATGCATCATGGGAGGACCTTAGTGGAATTAAAAGTTTCACTTTACACTAGATAAGCATCACATCATGAACTAGTACTGATATATAAATTATGAGAGAAATTGACAATTTTGTGTGATATTAATTCATGACCACTTATGTACAGTGAAACATGATTATCATGGACCTCAATGAAACAAGATTAGAATATTTCAATGTCCACAAAGTAATATTATATTTGATTAAAACAAGCTTTTCAATGCTAGCTTTGTGTACAGGCTCTGCTTAACTGGAATTTTGATATGTATTTATCTTTAACTTTACCTTTAGGATATTTATCCTAAAGGTAAAGGTATTTATCTCTACCTTTGTAGACAGGCAACAGGCTCTGATTTGCTGGAATTTTGACATGTATTATATTTAACCTTTATTGGCTCTCTACCTTTATAGACAGGCTCTGATTTGCTGGTATTTTGAAATGTATTATATTTAACCTTTATTAACTCTCTACCTTTGTGGACGGGCTCTGATCTGCTGGTATTTTGACATGTGTTATATTTAACCTTTATCAATTCTCTACCTTTGTGGACAGGCTCTGATTTGCTCCACTAGACAACAGGTACTTGACAACATCAGCATGACCCTCCTGAGCGGCCATATAAAGGGGAGTGAACCCAACCTACAAAACATCCAATTCATCAAATAACAATGAGAGTATTATAACTGTTCACTAATTGTAACCAGAAGACAAATTGCAAATATCAATTTCAAAGTTTGAGAAAATAAATAACCCCTTGATCACTTGAAGGCAACCCATGGAGATTTATTTTCTAAATTCTCTGAATAAATAAATGAACATGTCTATGAAATTCCGTGTATGTCAATTCTAAGTATAATGTTCATTCAAGTTTTTTTGTTGGCATAACCTATTTGATGATTTCAGACGTTAACCACATTTTGCAGATAGTTAAAATGTGCTGCAATTGTTTGAGCATAAAGCTTAATTATAATTACATCTCTGATATATGCCTATTATATTGGAAATATTCCTTTCAAGTGGTACATAAATACTTGGTAAGAACAACATTTTTACACTTCAAAACCATAAAACAGCATATAAATCAGGGTGCACTAATTAGCATTTGGCCATTACAATGCATTACATATATTACAGACATCTGCCTCTCTTTAAGAATCACAACATCATTGCTCATTGAAGCAGGAAAAGATTTGTTTGTTCTCCATCCTGACTGCTTCTCACCAATAACATCCCTTTGATTAACTGTTAATTCCCTTTATCATTCCTAATCTCTGAAATGTTTGACTACTTGTCTTCAACTCTCCACTAGCTCAAGAGCAACAGTCTAAAGATAACACCAGTGGATCTGCCAATATTTTGGGTGCTGAGAATTTAACATCCTTTTCTATATTCCCTGTGTGGGATTGATATAAACAAGCTGTAACACAGCTATTTTCAAACAGTAAAATTATAACCATGTGATGGGGGAATATTTTAAGATGACCTCTCAAAAAGTTCTGTTGACCTACTGAAAAACTGATATTAACTGCTTAGAGATATATTTTATACAAAGCATATACATGTATCTCTTTAATTTACTTATTTAATCAGCCAGGCAATGATTTCAATTTGACCTAATTTCCTTAAAATTGTAAAGCATTTCTTTAACAGAGTGAAGGAATACAATATGATGCCAGACATGATGAAATTCAGTAGGGTGACATCACACCCACAGAAAGTTATTTATAGCTTAGATCACCCCTGTATCTATATTTAAGGTTATTAAAGAGTACCCAGGCGCGGATCCAGGAATTGAAGTTAGGGGGGGCGCAATAAGTAGGCAGGGGGTCTGGGGGCTGCCTTGAGGCCCCCAGTGGGTACAGGGCGAAGCCCTGGTGGGGGCCCAGGGGGCGAAGCCCCCGGAAGCTCCTGGATTTTAGAGATTTTGTAGGGTAAAAATGAGATCTACCAAGTAGACATTTTTACATATTCTCGACAAAAACTATGATTTACGCTAACTTTGACAATTTTAGGGGGGCGCGCGCCGGGTGCGCCCCCCTTAAATCCGCCACTGGTACCTATGTCAGAAGGTCCAACTACTGAATAAGTTTACTTGGAATATAGAAATATATGCTTTTTTCCCTTAAATTTTTTTTATATTCAAATAAATTAATGTTACTTTATAAAGACAATTGAACTAGCTGGATACATGTAAATATACCCACTAAGATACACCTATGGCAGTAAATGTACAGATTGGACTTAAATCCAACAACAGGCTTCTATTAGTACTGTAATTCTTTAATTTGTAAAATTTATATATAACATGTTAAATAAGTCTAAACAAAACAAAGGTATTGTTGGGCAACCTCAAAATTAAAAAATTCACCGTGAAAGATAAAGTATTTGACAGTTGCCACTGCTGAAATCTACAGTTTGGAAATTTACAATAAGCGGTAACAATGAGAAGTCTGCCACCTGTTACACAACAAACATGCTGAATTATTTGATATTTGTGTAGACATCTGTGTGGTTAATTTCTTGCATTGATCAACGCTAGTCTTTAACATTAAGTAATAAATATGTATTCTGTTGCCCGTATAAAGCCTGAGAAGTATGTATTTAATGTAGATCTGTATGGTATAAATAAAATACCATGCATTAAGCAGAATTTTTAGTGAGGTTAAATCTTGAAAATTTTTGCAAGGGTATTGAGATCGCAAAATATTAAATATCACTAACAATTTCCAATGTAGTAATAGCTATCTTTCTTGGCATTATAAAAGCACTAAAATTACTTCTCCCTAAAAATATACACCAATATTTATGGATAAATCACTAAATTTGCCTCTTGCTAAAATTTCCACTTATGCGGTGGTCAGTCTTTCTTTGCGATTGAGTATAAACCAGGTACTTGATAGAAAAGAGAACCAGCTATCGGTTATTTTGAACTACTAGACAATCCTAATTCTATATCTATTGTACCATTACTCTGTGGTAACTTACATGAGCTTGTACATCGTACTTTGCACCACTCTCGACCAATAGTTTGACAATATTCAGGTGTCCAGCAAGGGAGGCAATGTGTAGAGCTGTGTTTCCTTTCTGTAAAACATAAAAAAAATCACTGACACACTGACTTGTTTCCTATAACTTATTTGGAAATAAGAACATTTATATACTGCTATATTATACATTGTACATGTACCTATAAATTAACTTCTTTCACATACAGTCAAACCTCATTACTTTGAATTTAATGGAACTAAGGAAAGACTTGAGATATTAGAGAATTCAAGAAACTGAGGTAAAAATACATTTAATATAAAAATGGATGGGACTTAGAATTCACTTGAGCATGTAATGGTATTCTAGAAATCGATGTTCAAGATATCAAAGTAACAACTGTTTTATGCATTTTTAAAACAGATCTACTGAAGATGAATGAATGTTCAGTTGGCCATCTCTGATTTCTGTGCTCACCATGGCACAGCATAAATTACCTTGGTAGCCGCCTCAACATTGGCTCCTCTCTTCAGAAGTTCTTGTACAATGTCTATGTGACCTTCCTTGGAGGCCAAATGTAGTGCATTCAGTCCATTCTACAAGAAATAATTTAAGTAATTAAAAATGAAAATGTCAAACTTCATTAAACTCTAAACTAGCTTAGAAACTCTAATAATTTTAAAAACATATGTCTCTTAATTAATCAAAGAACTTTGAAATGCACCATGAACTTAATAATGTTGAGGACAAGCTATAATCTTATGCTTTAAAATTGTGTGTGTTTTGTACTATATTGTAATCATTGTTTTTTGAGCAAAAGAACAGTTGTTCTTCTTATTTCAGCAGCTTTAATAACATAAACATCAAGTATGCTACAGTACATCCCAGATATCTAGACACCTCATGCCTTTTATTACTCATTAAAACTGGAAGCTGATCTCTTCTGTAAAATAATGTTTCTTTCGATTTCTGTACAAATTATTGATCCAATTTTTCTACATCCTGCTGCAGAAGTCATTTGATTTCTTGCTGCTTACTGCATTAAGCATAAGAATGCCAGTCCTGTTGCATCGATAACTGCAGCAATGTCTTCTGCTTCATAAAATCTGCACTTTCTTTCTAGCTATGACACATCGTTCCCTCGATACTAGTTTGCCTATTGATTTTACTGGTCTGGTTACATCTGTACACTAGGTTGGCAGACTCAAAGCTAACTTTAACCTGTATACAGTTCCTATTGATCACATTATACACCGATAAAATGGAGGAAAAGGGAAAATCAATGTTATCTGATGGAATATGCAATCAAAACAATATCAGAATTCATATTCATTTTGTTCATGTCTTTATGATGTTTTGACTATCAACAAAACTATGCTTGAGCATAGAATAAGCCAGGCCATTAGTAAATTAATATATTGTAATCATAAAGAGTATGTGAGTTTACATGACGAGGTAAAATATTAGGTTGATGATAAATAGTAGGAACCTAACTGGACCAATCTCAATATAAAATAGGATCAAAATAGAGATTTTGCATATACTGTAAACATACTTATTTTAGGGGTTATCATATTTTAGTGCCATTTCGTGCCATTACTAATGTCTGCAAATTTATGTACAAGCTAATACATAATTAAAACTAAAATGTTATTCATAAAACTCACCTGTGGTAATTTATAATTGCACTAATCAGATGAGGAGGAAAATTGTGCTAAATTTTTAGTGTGCTAATTTATGCATGTTTACAGTATGTTGACTTTGCTTCTGAAAATTCTCTACAGTAAAATTACCTTCAGCAAAGAGCATACATTTCACTAAGGCATCAACTATTTACACAAGAGGCCCCAGAGCCACAAGGCTCACCTGATTCAACTTGGCCCTGCTGTTCTCTAGAACACTGGCTCCATCCCAGCCCAGTGGACCATGATTTGCTACACTTCCAGAGGATGCTTCCATATAAATATGACTAATCATGACCCTCTTGTTCTTTACAAGAATTTTTTTTAAAAGATTTTTTTTTTTTGGATTCTCTATTGTGGCCCCATTCTACCTGGACAGGAGTCAAAAATTTGAATCTAAATGACCTGACAATGCTATTGTTCATGAAAGGATGGTTTTGTAAGTTTTTCGTAATAAATTCCTTTGTAAAACTTTGTTACACTATTGTGGTCCATCCAATCCCTAGGGGACATGTTTTACTTACTTATCATAGTCTGCTATACTTTAGAAGCAGATTTTTATACATATTATTTTTCTATATATTCCAATGTAAAACTTGATCCCTTATTGTAGGGCTGGGTATCGGTTGGAAATTTTGTATTGCGATATATTGCGATATTTGGAACTATATTTCGATATGTATTGCAATATTTTGAATAACAGTTAAAATGCTCTTTTCTTCTTATTTTTTTTTAACCTCCATTATAGCAGAGTGAATAAAACTTTGATAAATACGTTGTAACAAAAAAGTTCTATTTGATTTCACTACAGCTTGGCGACGAAATGCAACCTTACAACAGAAACCTTTACCGTTTGGTAGTGTTTAGCATGACTGAAAACGATTCTGACATCTTAAAGTTCATATTTTACTTCATAAATATAAAGCGCAATCATTTTGCTGGTATATCGGTACTGGAAAAACATATCGCAATACCATATTTTTTGTTAACGAATCGCAATATACCGGAATATCGATATTATTGTGCAGCCCTACCTTATTGAGGCCCCAACCTACCCCTGGAGGCTATATTATTTAAACAAACTTGAATTTGCAATACCTGTGGATGCTTGCATAGACAGATCACTAATCATAGTCTTGCTGTTCTTGGGGAAAAGATTTTCAAACATTTTTTTCTCTATATATTCCAATGTAAAAACTTTGATCCCCTATTGGAACCCCACCCTACCCCAGGGGGGCATGATTTGAACAAACTTGATTTGCACTACTTGGGATTGCTTGCATCACTAATCATGGTCCTCTTGAGGAGTTTTTTAAACATTTTCCTACACAGTCCCATGTAAAATTTTGATCCACTATTGTGGCCTCACCCTAACCGGGGGGAAGTTGAACAACCTTGAATTTACACTTTGTCAGGAGGAAGCTTTTACGTAAGTTTCATCTTTGTTGGCCCAGTGTTTTTTAAGTAGATTTTTTATGACACCCAACCTTTTTTTGCCTTTTATTGATTACCTTCCCAATAAAGTGGCCATTGCTTGTATAAAAATGGCCCAGTGGTTCTTAAGAAGAAAAAATTGTGAAACGTTTATGACGACAATGACAGCAACAATGCAAACAACAGACAACAGAAAAATTTTGATCCAAAAATCTTGCTCGAGGCTTCGGCTCAGGTGAGCTAATAATACCTTTGGTGAACAAACAGCAAATTATATAAGTACTTGACACTGAACTGAAGAAATTTTAAATTGGCATGTTCTTATTTCATCCAGTAAAAGACACTTGAGTGGTCAATCTGACATGAGGTGCAATGGGATATAAAACCTCCACCAATATACATTCTGATTCTACCATTGTTTCTACATGGAAGCTCTAGCTGTTTACATGTAATACTAGAATCCAAGCAAGCAGAATTCTTCTCACAGCATCATTTTTGCACATTTATAAGAACAACATGGAGTCAAGTGATCAAGAAGGCAAACATTCTGCCAAAGGTTTCATATCTGAATTGATTTTCAAGTTGCCATCACAACAAGAAACCATTTTGTGCTTCTTGAACAAGAAGCAATAATAATCTGACATTGATTTGTTGTATCTAAGCATCCAAATCTATCAGGGCTTCACTTTGTTGTGATGTCTTCTGCTTGCTAGTTTACATTGGAAGCCATAAATATATCCCATTCCTATGTAAATCTGTCAAATAATAGAGCTCTGACGTCTGTCTTATAATACAAGTTATATTTAAACAAACAAGTCAGAAGATACATCACCCCAAGACTTGTAGATACAATATCTAATTCCTAAGAAAAAGAAAAGTACAGTTATATCACAGCCTTTCATTGTCATATATGACCTTCAGATTAAATAGATGACCTTGACCTCTATGATCAAACTTGGGAGGGAGAGACTTACTGGGTTGCTGGTGTTGATGTCTGTGCTTCCTTTCAGGTATTCCAGCACCTCCTGCAAATTTCCATCTCTAGCAGCTCTCAAAAAGCTTGTGTTACCATCACTCTGAAAGAAAAAAAAAATGCAACGTATGACATTTGTCAGTGATATGTTATGATAGTCCAGCAGTCCACTGTAACATCTACCTGTCTGGGCTTACTGATAAATATACTGGGTATATTACACTCAAATGTTTCAAACCAAAGGTTCCAAAAGAAGACTTGAAAAATGTTTATGGTAGAGTACAAATTACTCTGGAATCATTTTAATTTGTGGGGGGCAATGTTCATGGGCAAGCAAAATTTTACTTGTTGGTGTGGACATCATTTCATGGGTTACTCATTTATACTATAGATTTAATTAAACAATATGATTACAAAATAAACATTTGTGGGGATGTAAATTCATGGGTGAGGGGGACCCACGAAATCCATGAACATTGGTCCCTTACGAACAATGATGATCTATTAAGTTGAAAGAATTTGTATCCAGTCCTTTTGTATATATTATACAATATGTTCAAATCAATGATGATTCCACAGTACATGTATACAACATAATTTTATTATTCATAAGGAAGGGGTCAACAGAGGACATCCTTCAAACAAATATTAACCTCCAACAGAATCTGACAAAGTCAGATTTTCTTAAAATGCAAAGATATTAGTCAGTCATACTCATTTATTGTATCTATGAAAATAATTCAGGTGTTTATTGTCAAACATGTATTACCTCTTCCTCGCCGGGACTAAATAACTCAGACAACATGGTGACTATAGGTCCTGTCACCTCTTCCTCAATCAAAGACACTTCTTCAGCAATCAGCCATCCAAAATACATTATTCACTAACCCCAAACATTGACTAAAATATCCCATAATCCAAATAATGCCCTCTTTCATTACTTCTAGAAAAATTCCTCCAGATGATTAACAGAAAGCTTCCCTACAAGCTTGTAAGAGTCCTGAACTAAATGACTTTCATGATGTAGACAATGACAGAAGGTATACAGATTATATTTGCATTTATTTATATCTGAGTGGTTTGTCTCTCCTACTACTCTTTACTTATTCACTGTGAAAAGTAAGACACTGTGTGTGCCATCATAAATTATAAATATAAGGGTCATGAAACTTATTGCGAAGAAAATGAAAGTTGCTTGTCAAGCAATTCTTTACTTGAATGGAGAAACACAACATAACCCACCTGTGTTGATAAGATTATATACACTGAGCCATACATATCAACAAAAGATAATTTATTATAATCAGAGTTGTGAATACTCTACTGATTAAAAAAAAAATCAATACAAGTACAACAAAAACATCAATATATTTCTTTTCATGAAATACTCTGCAAAATCAAAAATGCTCTAGATCTCTAGAATGCATCTGTGGTTTAATAAATGCTGGTAAAAATGTATACAGTATTAACTTATTATAACCATGTGCTCTTATCATAGAACATCTAGATGTCTTCTTGCTATAACCATAACATTATCATATTGACACCATTATTATGAATGAAGTGTGTTAGAGTATAACCTTGAAAACTTGAGCCTCCATCAAATGGCAGGGGGTCCTGACAACTGGGGCAGCTGTCTTTTGCTTCTGGTGATGTCAGATCAGGCCAGATTACTATCTCACTAAAAATATGTTATCATGGCCTTTGTACAAATATATGTCTGATTTCCTGTATGAATGGGGATTATTTCAAGTGATATCATAGGACTTTTGATATTGCTTCAGGAGAAAAGACAATCAAACTTCAGGGATTTTCTCTTATTTCTCTTCTTTACATAAGTAATCATTGAATTTGATATCTGCCATGATTAAAATGAATAAATAGATCAAAAGCAATAATATGTCCATTCTTATTTTACAGTGTTTTAGCAGGGCATTAGTGTAAAACATTTTTACTCTTTGTGCACCTACTCTACTTTTTTCCTTAAATAAAGCCACCAATAAAAGATGAGAATAAACTTCAAGGCACCCTTTTTTTAAGATAAGCCAATTTTTTTTTCTAACTTTGCAATTTCAGAACATCTGGCCAAGATAGCAACTGTCAAAAAACAATCTGCAACTTCAATTGAATAAAAAAAAACATTCAACTCTTCTCCCTTACTGCATTTTAAAACTTTCAGCAAATCACATGTATTTTTTCCTGTAGTAATTTACCCAGATTACGTAACAGCGTGCAACGAACCTCTGAAGAAAAACAGAGAGAAAATTTCCAAGGTTACAAAACCGCTCACTGTATTAAGCAGTAATTTGTAAACGAATTTTTATGTTATTTTTATTCATAAAAAAAAGAAACTGCACTGACTTACCCAAGACAGTCTCCACTTTTTCAGCATAGCTCACAATTAATCCAAAAAGTTCTTATAAAGCAATTAAGGAATAATCGAGAATATCCTTGAAGTTCTTTGCAAATATCCTTGAAATCAAGCACTTAATCAGCCTATCAATGTGTATATGCATATACCAGAAGCCTCCCTTTCTTTCCTGGATAATGCAGAAATAATTTGTTATATCGGCACTAAGGCATTATACTAAGAGAGAGTTCATCACCCCTCACTGTCTTCTCTCTGGTCAAAATGGCTGGTATACAAGCAAGAACAAAAACAAAATCTGGAGAAAAGATGGGTTTCCAAGGTAATTAGGTAACTCAGCACAGACAGAAAACTTTGCTCTTGAAAAAAATCAAACACCCCAAAACTTCATGCCACCAAAAAATACTCATTCACACACACATGATGTCATAATCTTATCTATTCGTCTCGAGTTACAGCTCTTGGGGGTGGGCTCAGTTCTTGCCTCCTAAAACAACTGGGAGTCTGGAACTCATTTTACCTTAGGGAGGGCACCTCTACATACTCAATTTAATCTACAGCAACAATCAAATGATTCAATAACTATAAATAAACAGTGAGGAGGGTAAAAAAATATAGATAAACAAAACTTTCATTTTTCTCTCCCTTGTCAAATGGCAAGCTAAAAGCCACTGCTGTTTCCAGATATTGTAAACATCACAGAGGGAAGGAATGTAACACAGGCTCATTATTATCACAACAGCTTCAACAGAAGAAAAAAAAAAAGACGAAGATTGCTCCAAATTAGAGAAGGCTTCTGAACAACTTAGCTGACTACCTTTCTAATCAACAGCACCTGTTTACGATTTCTTTTCTTACCTTCCTTGCTTTCGAAATAGAATCTCCTGATACCAGCTCCATTTGGTTACTCCCCCACTTCACCACCTATAATCTTTTGTCATCATTCTCCTGTGCAGACTAGCAGTATATGGTGAGGTCTAGGCATACATTGATTTTTATGTTGGACTGTGTATTTACTATTCATAGCTTGTACTTGCTTGCAATGAGCCATTGATTACCTGATCACATTAGGAAATCACCAAACCAGAGGCCAGCTTCCGAAACCACCAATTACGAATACGTCCATAAATTATGAGGAATAGCGCAACTCTTTAAATAACCCCTTGTAAAAAGGATTCCTTCTTACCATGTATTACAATGATGGTTTTTTTTCTACAGAAAAAATCAAATAAATCTAGTCATTTAGCTAACATATTATCTTGTGTCCTTTTATGAGAAAATAAGACACATTCTTTAAAATCTCCATCTCAATTTATGATGACTTTCCAGAATGGTTTCAATATTTAGACTCGATCAACATATGCCTAAAAATACCAAAACCAAAGATTTTTTTTAATCTTACCTTGCCAAATTGTTTCACCATCTTTATACTATTTCATCAGGACACCTCTCCATCAACTCAACATAAGAGATGTGCACACTTTGTGCCCACAATGCTACAGATTTTTCTGCGGGATTCTGAGAAATGTGCTGTGTGAGTATCAGTGACAATTCCTATTACTCAGTACACAGAATGCAGATCTTATCAAGGTATCCTGACTTTCTGGCAAAACTGCTATAGGAGGAGAATGCAGTACTATATATTTTCTGTCCACCTGCTTGTCAAGGTGAGATTAGTGAACTACATTTAGAGCCTAATTAAACCAAGAGACCACATTTGAAATGTAAGGTAAAAAACATTGAGATCACAGTTTTATGTTCTTTGACCATTAGGTATTGATCCGCTAAGATCTTGGGCTAAAGTCGCATCACCACACAATACAACTTTCTAATTTCTTAGAGATCAAAGATATTATCATGATGCACTGACAAACTTCAAAACACATGAGCTACACTTGAACTAGAAATGTTACATTAATTAGCTAATTAAGGCAGTAAAGCATTGGATGACTCATTTTCAAGGTAAAGAAAAAAGATGCTCTCAGATGAGGTACAAAATAAAAAAAAATCAATAGATTTTTAATAAACCTTTGCTTGTGTCACGCCCGTGTAGGGAGACAAGGACAATGCATTCAAAATTCATACTCTTATTATTACAATGATCATGGTGAATGAAATGTGATTTTTCTCTTTCTACATGCATTACAAGCACACTAATACACATATGGTGAATAGTCTTATAAATTTCCATTTTTGTATAATATATTATAATCTGAACTTGAATTTTTCAATGAGTCATACAATGCTAACATACATACACAAATAAGGGAATTTTTATTGACATTTATATATTACTTATGAATGTGTGTGAATTTTACAAGAACAAACTATGCAGAGATATTTTTTCAACTTTTAAAAATTAACACATAGGAAAGAAAAAAATATCATCTTAAACATGATGATTAATTCTAATTTTCCATTGAAAATTCTTAAAGCATATAATAATTACCAGATTTAACCTTAAGGTCAAGATCTAGTAAATGACTTTAGACCGTCTTTTCAGTGCTAGATCCATTATGACGTCATAATCAATTTAAACTTTCCTTTTCACGTACTTTACAGCTCCAACAGAATTATGTAGAAAATAAAGTATTTTCATGGCATTCAGTTTGAAATTATGTGAAAAGTAATCCCGATACCTATATTCAATTTTACATTATTTTAAAGAAGAGGCTAAGAACATACAAATTACTGTTTTCTGAGAGACTGTAGGCAATCTGAATACATTTCCTTCG